CCAACTTTTTTGAAAAAAAAATTAATAAGATGATACTCTCAATTCCAGACTGTACTTTGTAAAGTTTGGTGTCAAAGTATGAAAATCATATACTGTTTATTTACACATGTTATTCTCTGTTGTAGAAAGAAATCACTTTCTTGCTCTTTTCATATTGATTAGATTTTACATAACTTTATTCAATCTAATATATCAATCTACTGTGAAATTTTGTCTGCTGCTAGTGTTTCCATCATCACTCCATGAATTCCCATCCAGCCTCCAACTGGTACAAGGGTAGCTGATCAAGCTCATATAGACCCTTAGCTGGCATGGATGTGCTTACCTTTTTCTGTAGTACAAATAATTAAATATCAGGAGATGTTATTTTACCTTTCACGCCCACAACCTAAGGCAAAAAGTGGGGACAAAATCCCAGCATGATATATCTCACACTCACAGCCCAGCAAGGCAGAGCATGCCTAGGGCATATTATAGGATATAGGCCTAAATATGCACTTCCAATGTTGACTGTAAAACGAATGGACATGATGGAAAATCTGCTCTTTCTTCAAGTGTAGTTCATCTATCACATTACACACCACACGCAGGCCTACGTCATGTTCATGTAGGCCCTAAATGACGAAAGTAGTACGTGTATTCTGGACTTGGTCTAGAACAGGCATGATGTGTGCATGCATAGTGTGACGGTGTGATCGACGACGGCGTTCAATCAGTCCATGTCAACCAGTGCTACACGTGTTCCAAGAAACTGACAAGTTAATTATTAAATGACCATCTTCATAAATAGCGGAACTAGCAAATAAAGCTATTGCTGTAACTCCTTGCCTAGTCAGTCTGAAACACTTACCTCACGTTTGTGCAAAGGATAGATCTAGAGCGACTACGGCAAAATTACCCAGAATTCCACCACAGAAACTTCGTGACCTTTGAACCATGCCGCCCTGCGGCAGCGGGTCCGCGGTAACTGTCTACGGCTTTTTTTTCTTTTTTTTTTTTGCATGAAGGCCAATCGGAAAATAGTGTATCTATGCCAAGTGCATTTCAGATAATACCATTTACTGTAAAGAAAACTCACAGTGAACACATTATCATGCAGGACTGGAAACTAAAATAATGATTATTTATGCCCTTTTTGAAATTTCACCCGTCGGGCTCGAGTTGGTTTGAGCAAATAAGTGACAATGCAACTTTATCCATATTCTTGTAACGCCACTCGTTTGTGAAAATTTAATTCATATAGTTTTGAGAAAAGACGTCTAAATTTAAAGCTAAAAGATCTTGCAGCTATATATGTAAACACACATATGAAGCCAACTGAAACCGCGGTTCACAACCATGCACAATGCATAACATCTAGATGCTCAACCAACCATAAAAACTTCACGTGTAAAATTAGGCTCCAATAACATTCGGGCTTTATTTTCCTTTAAAAAAACCTCCCTGCCCACAATTCCCACCCGTGATTCGAATCCACACCCTATACATCACAAATCATTATGCCGTACATAAATCGCTTGACTACCGCAATTCATACAAATTGGTGGTGTTTTTACTGTTGATATAACGATGAACGGCTGCAACGCATGTCTAACACACATTGGGCATGCGCAATACAAACATAACCATCGTGGTTTGGCTTCATACGTATGATTGCATATATATCTCATTTAAGTGGGAAGTTTCGTTCATCGCCGCTCCCAGGACTCTGTTCGGGCGCTCCCACGAGCGGGTTGGGAAGTGTTCATTGAGGTTTGGTAGCGTCGTGACCGCGACGCATGCAGCTGAAGTCACTCGTGAACCAGTGAAGTGCACTTTCCACCAAAGGAGCATCCGTTGGTAGGGAAATTGCGCCCTCTCTTAGTCCCATTCGGCGCCCATAGGGGTGCACTGAATTCCCATTGAAGACAATGTAAAATCGACCACGTTTGCAGCCCCGGTGGGGGTAACCGAAGTCCTTCAGGCCTCTCAAACAAAAAACAAAGTGTTCTGGGGTCATTGATTTTCAATTTTTAGTAGGTTAACCAATGAAATTTTTAATTATCCACCCAAAACAAACTCACCTTCCAAAAAGTGAACGTTCCCAAGTCTGTCAGCGGCCATTTTTCAAATGAGATCCCTCCACCTTTTCAGGCTCTTGGGACAATTTTTCAGTGGCATTTTTCTATGCTTCGCCCTGGGATGGGAGCCCTTGAATCTAGGAAGTTCATTCTGGGCCATTCTTTCACAATCCCACAAATTCTTGGGCCACACAATCTCCTCTTTTCCAAATAAACTCTAGGGGTACTTTTTGAACGCCTCCGCCTGCCGAAGAAGTTCCCTTGAATTGGGCAGTGCACCCATAGAGCTAACCCCACCTTTGCAAATCAAGGCGTGTATAATTATAGCAACGCCGCCGAAGAGAGCCTGAAAGTTTACCCCTGATGGCGCGCTTCCGGAACCCTTGGATAGGAAAAATAACGTGCAAAGATTTTAGAATTTGTAATATTTTTTCGTTCAGTTTCTTCTTAAAAAATCCAACTTTGGAAAAAGGGCTTTGAAAAATATTTGCTAGCATATCAATTTATAGAAACTGAAAAATTACCCGATCTAAAACAGAAATATCCTGCCAAAAATTGACCCATAACTTCCGAAAATCTAAAATACATGAAGAACAGTGCAATGCAGCAGTCTCGTACGCAGATGAACATTCACGATTTGAAATTTTATGGTAGTCTGTGGGTAATAGGCGAAATAAAAACAGATCAAAATAGACATAAGGCAATATTCTACTTTTACAACAGATTCTAATATTTTATCTAACCTTTGCTGACAACAACTGCGTATGTCAACAGAATTTGGAACCCATCGAATGCAGGAAGGTAATTCTTTGCAACGTTGTACAATCTCGTTTTCACGAAAGCACGGGGAGTGGAAACAAACGTGCGTGAACAAGGTGACCTAGGTACGATATCGCCGGACGTGAAAGGTCGTTACTAAAATTCGTTTTTTACCCATCTCCAGGTGACTTTTCCAAAGTAATTCTTGAGGAAGACAAAGGTAAAATTCCAATATGAGTGTTTCATGGGGTGGTTTCAAGTAGGAATTAATCTCCCAAAAATTATCGAACGTGAGTGGACGGCCCAATGTAAAATCCCCGTAGGCAGACCGCGCAAGGGTTCCGGAAGCTGGCTGCCGTGACCTCTTACTTTCAGGCTCTATTGGCCCAGAAACAAACTTCGCGCGGAAGCTAATCCTGTCGAAGACGCCCACACTGTGTGAGCAGCCACCTAACATCAAGACCCAATACCGACACTTGAAGCCCTGCGTCATCATTATCTGATGCCGATGAGTTCCCCCCCCCCAGGTTCCGGTGACGCCCAGCGAGAGATGTATGCACGTGTTCCCACACCCATTTCACCAGAGGCACCATTGTTCGGACACGGACTCATTATTTAAACAAAATCTGGTCTTGCAATATCTTTGTACCGAATGAACCCCATTTAAACCTCTTTCGACCAGCTAGGCCTGTCTGAATGATCCTCGAGCTGGACCTACTAGGGAGCAATGGAGGCTCCTTTGGTCGAAACTGAACTTCAGTGTTCACGAACAACTATGACATGCACGCCTTATACAGTCGCGTCGCTACCAGCAAAATGAACACTCCCGACCAACATGGCTCATATCAACTGACGAGGAGATGCTTCTGGTCGAACCAGACACCGTTTCCTTACTAAAATCCGCCCAAATTAAAAGGCACCCTTTTTACTTTCATTCTTTGTAACAATAGAAAACTGCAATTGTTTTTTACAAAATTGTCCCCCAAAGCCCCCAAATTTTGCCCAACATTTGCTAAGCCTTAACAGTCCTCAATCCTCCAACAGGTGAAGGATTGAGGAGTGTTAGGGATAAAGAAATGAATTTTACCACCCCAAAAAATTCTTCCCCCAATTAATAATTCCACCCCTGCTTTACGTAATTCTTTACCCGCTGCAAAAATTGAAAGTAAATTAGACATTTTAAAATTAAAACAGCAAATATAAACCCAGACATTCGTGGACAAAAATTATCCGTATTCGATGTTCTATTTTATTTTAAAAAATATTTACCACTATTATACACATGAACATTTACATATACATGGATATTGAGATGTCACATTTTTCATGCCAAAGTTGCGTCAATGCCTTTTGTGTAGCACCACAAACAAATATTAAACTTCAGTCGTTAATATTTCTTGGTCGCATTGCTCAAGTTCTGAGGTTTTCCATTAAGCAACCCTGAAATATAGTGACAGATAAAACAAAAACACTTGTAAGTTTCCAAATAGCATTTTCCCACAAAGATAAAAGTCATGCATTCAGTTTTACGAGTTTCCCTTAATTATCTTAGCTGGAAATAGGCCTACATGTCATTAAATGGAATCTTTTAACAGACAAATGTCAATTCTTTCTGTGATACGAATGTCAAATATTGAAGTGAGCAATGTTGTGATTGATAATATCTTGGAAGTTAAAAGACAGTTACAAATAAGGCTTTTGCAAAGTGGGGTTGAATGTTAAAAAGTTGGAGGTAATACGACGTCGCTTTCACTGGCTTATTTCAAATAACATGAACGTTACAAGAAAATTAATAACAAGGGACCTCGCCGTTTGCCCTGTTTACGTCCTCAAGAAGCCCCCCCGGCCCGGCCCGGCGTATTGAAAAAAATGGCGTGGGTTAAATTTAACCCAAGCAAGGGTGAAAACTGCAACTACCCAATGGTTTAGGTTGTTTCAACCCAATTCAGGTGATTGAAATTAATTTGTGGGTTGTTTAACCCAACAATGGTTAATATCCACTCATTTTGTGGGTGATAAATAAAACATAAATAAATGAACCCAAAATTGGGTCAACACGGCCCATATTTGGGTGGTTGCAGTTTTTAACCCTTCCTAGGGTTAAACTTTAACCCAGGCAATTTTTCAGTGTGACACTGAAGTCAGGTTGGAATGTGCACAGCCTAATAATAGACGCACTGTTGAGATCGAGAGAAAAGTGCGTATACCATAAAAATGCACGATCGATAATAATTACATACAATGCATGATAAAACTTAAAACGCACTGAAAAAGATGTGCAAAGGCATGAATAAAGTTACGAAAAATTATTACAGAATAAAAATGACATTTAATAAAACTTCATCAGTAAGAAACGGTTGAAATCAATGGAAGCCGAGCTGGAATTTACTGATCTTCCATAAACCAAAATATTATTGTCAAGACTAAGAGGGGCGAATAATTATTAGTGTTTCAACTCTGGCAAGTTGCGGGTGAAATGTCCTGGAAGATCTTGAACGCGAGAGTCCCCGTCGCGATGGCCGGAACGACGCTGCCCAGCATCGCCTGCAAACTCGCCAAGTGACTGGCCATGAGCTCAAATACGAAGGCGGTGAAGATGCCGATGGGCGAGGCGGCTGAGTAGCAGAGGATGCTCCGGTTGAGGCCGGTGGTGATCTGGGTGCTCTGGGCGTACTGGACGCCAAGGCTGAAAGCAAAGACGCACTTGTGGATGGCAACAGCGACGGTGACCTCCAGCGCCTGGGGCGTCGGCTGAGGGTCAAGCCCCACGGTGAGACCGTCAAAGATGCAGTGGGCAGATAAGACGAGGAGTAGTAAAATGACACTCAGATCCAGTGATCGTCGTTTCTGCTGCTCCTCTACAAAGCTCAAATTTTTAGTAAGGACACAGTTATTATTGTCGTCGCTGTCCGGTTTAATGAGGGACGAATGCCGTCTGAGCCGATTCAGTGGCGTGTCGTATACAAATTGTCGTTCTTCACAGGAGTTGATGATTTCGTTTTCTTTCGATGGGGAAAGTTTGGGTATGAGTCGTTTTTGGCGATAGGCGAACGTCCGAGTATTTGCTTCCGACACCTGAAAACCTCTACTATTCATGCTGTTAGCTTGTCCTTTTTCACCAGTCATCAGCAAACGAAACTCTGGGAATAGATCCAGCAAGCAGGTGGCCAGAAACACGCCGCCGGCGAAGCAGTTCATGCCCGTCAGTACTTGCTGCAGCCGCTGCTGGTCCAGGGAGTTATCCAGTCCGCGATGGAGGAGAGTGATTATTCTGCCGGGCAGCCAGCTGCACAAAAACACCAGGAAAAACAGAACTAACGCTGCGGTCAGTTTGGCGGTCACAGTGTAGTCTGAAAACGCCATGGCACTGATGGATGAGAGCTCACACGATAGACTCTCGAAGACCAGCGACAGCACTTGCCAGACCGGTTACTTTTCCCCGAGACTCCGCATCTGGCAAAAACTTGGAACGTCGCTATCTGGGAGCAGATGGAAAGGATAGCATGATTCCCTCCCAGCGTCTCAACGACCAGCAGCCAAAGGTCTTGCAAGTGAAATCCCTCAGCCCATTCAAGCTGCTTTTATACGCGCTATAAATGGAACAGGTTCCCTCATTTGACATCACAAAGTGGAATTTAAATCACAAAGCCAACAAGTGGGGTCGTCCTTTCTCAGACTCTGAATATTATGTAATCGCCCGCTTACGAGCGCGCCCTGCATGTACCCTTCTTCCGCGTTCTTGAATGGATGCATGCGCTCGCCGAGTGCACCCTGAGCACCAGAACATGGGCGTCGTCGATTTTGCTCTGAAGAGTTAACAAAGGTGTGCATCGTACCATGGCCTGGAATGCTCTAATCATGGATAAGCTGGACGTACAACTTCGTACGATCGATGAAAGTCTCACCTTTCAATTTTAAATGGGCCAAGAGTGCACCCCAGATTACGAATCAAACCAAGAAAAAATATCATACAATTCGCTGCAACTCTGTTTAAATACGTTTTCTTAACATTTAAACAACAAAGGAAATGTATTAAAGGAATGGCCACTCACTTTTCTACACAATAAGATATGAAAGGTGAAATATGGAATTAGTTGAAAGCCCATTGCATCCAATCTTTGTGTCAGTGGTATATAATTATGTGGCAGCGCTTTAAATACAAAAATTCACTGTTGTCAGACTTTTTGTCATTTTTCAGAAATTTGTCAGACCTTGAACTTGAACGCATTTCGCTGCACGTGTTTCGTGACGTCAATTTCGATTCTTTTTTCGAACTTTGCATGCACTCTTAAAACAACCTAGTCAAAACGTTGACTGATTTTCCTGATTGTTCAAAATTGACTACAGATTCAGTCAAACACCCGAGCTTACGTTGGGAAATCACGCTTTCTGACAAGATTCCTAACCGATGCCTTTTGAAATATCAATGAACTGACTGAAAAAAATCTGGTCAGTTTGACTAATTTCCAGTTGCACCATCAGCTAACCCTGAAGTGATTGTCAAATTTGACTGATCCTTTTTAGAGTGCAGGAAGTATACGAAGTATACTATTTTATACCAAACCTGCAACAACTTTCCTCAGCAACCGCTAGAAGTAAAGTATTATGGATGTGGCTGCTTGCTGGTGGTTTCCATAGGTGAACGTGTTGTTTCCTAGACGTAGCCGAGAAATACTGATGTAGCCTAACTCGTAGCCTCACTCCATCTTTGCAAGGAGTGAGGCTACGTCGGTATATTTCTACAGTGCATTGCAGGCGGCGCATTTCCAACGTGCATCATCTAAAACTTGATGAGCTGTGTTTCACAGTCTGTTCACTTTTTGATGGGGGTTGGGATAATTAGCGACTTTATTGTGAAATCTCCCTGGAATGGTGATGGCATATGTCCATCGCCGTTTTCGGGAAAAATCACAGCGTGGTAAAGTGACCATTAAGTCCTCGGTGGAAATTAGGCAGAATGTTTCATGATTAGCGAACGAGTTCACTCAGCAATGGAAAGTTTGGCAAATTGCTTCAAGGCCTTAGACAAAGTACCACACACTGGGGGGGGGGGGGCTGGTCCCCTCCAAATGCCGGTGTTGGCATTTTTATAAGGGGGGGTCTGACACCGTATAACACTAGAGGCGCTGTTCATGAATCAGACGTATATACGTCAAAAATGGCTTCTTCCACATCTTATCCCCTTTCAGCATTAATGAATAAATTTTGATTGTTGTGAAATTCCTCATAAACCAACTTGATTGTTTTCTCTCGCCACGAAAAATTGGGGAAAAGTCGACTGCCAATCCCCCGGTTAACAAGTGGGGCTATAAATTCCCCATCCTCGGGATATTATTTCTCAAGATCCTTTAAGTTAGCTGATTCGGATTCTGATTTTTCAATGACTGTTAACTGGCTCAGATTAAAGTTAGACAAATTTTGTTATAACTGTTACCTGTGGCTCAGAGAAAAGTTAAGCAATTATTTTTGCTCTGGTGAAAACTCTCTTCTTGATAATGAGTTTCAAATGTTGCTTTCGTAATTTTGCTAATGTTCTTCTTGATAGCTGGCAAATGTTCGAGACGGCTTCTTATGGTTTTACCTGTATCTTTGTGGATTGAATATCTTTGTAAGTGTATCCCAAAAAATGAAATGAAATGCAACTCATCCCATAACAAAGTCCAAGGTACAAAGGTTACCGGTACTCAAAATTAAGAAGATCGGATGCTGAAAAGAGAAAATAGAATTCAGTGTGAAAGATGTGTGTTCCCATTGTGCATTACTTGTGGAAGAAGTCACCTGGAAAACAATATGGAGGGAGCTAGGAATTCCAAAGTGAAATGCATGAGAAGAAACTTCAGTATATCTTGGACTAAGCTTTCGAGACAGTGATGTCGATATTGATGTGAGTGGAACTTGAAATAGTTCGGATATCGGTAAGATTGCGACAGTGGGGAACAACCACAACCAGAGGACCGTTGGGTGTACATTCACTGAAAGCAGATCCTGAACCAAACAGGGCTAAATTTTGGGAACTTTTTTATCCATCTTAAATCTATATGGCCTATCTGAGGACTGAGGCTACATTTTGGTGCTTATATCCACCGTTGTGGTTTGAGGTTAGAGTAGGGAAGCGTACAATTGAAGCAGGCCTATGCACAAGACGTACCGGTAAAGTACGTGCGAATCATGAAAAGAACCCGACCTATATAGCATTATGTTTGGTATCACGCATGGCTTTTGTGAACTCCAGCCCGCGACCCCAGTCTTCACGTGCTGGCACGTATCAAATAATCTTTTCCAAACCGAAAATTTCATTGGAATTTGAAGACGCGTTGCAGAGATAATTTTGATTACATAAGACATTTCATTTTATTTATTATTTCTCAAGGCATAAACAAATACAAGACAACAATACAACTGCAATGGCAATAGCCTTGATGGATTACCACATGCGAACTTAATCATAATCGAGTGGCTCTCTAAATGTTATCATGCTACAGGGTCTATAAAATGTGTAAAACTAAAAAAGTGGAGTAAAACTGAAACAACAGGCCCAAGCCCCACAAACAATCACCTAGATCCATCCCAGGAAAAAGAAAAAAATAAAATTGAATAATAACAATAATTGAAGAAAGATGTGGAATGGTCCATGCTCATTCTAAACACAAAAAACATGATAAATAAATAAGAATATTAATTTTAAGAATAAGATACAATTAAATATAATTTTGTCGTCGCTATAAATAAGTATAATCTTTAATAAGAGGAAATTGAAGTACATGATGAATCGTAACAGATGTAGTGAATTAAGCAAAGATACAAGAGTAAATTACATTGATACATTTAGTACATTTCTAGGCAGGAAATTCAACCGTTGTGCCAGGTGACAGAAGGTACTTACGTAGGCTAACTATGGAACTTGGACATATCGAATAAAAGTTGTTCTCAAACACAAGGCAAGCTGTCCCATAATCTAGGAAATCGTATAAAAAGAGAGTGGTGAAAGGAGTTGGTTCAACCACTTTTGTGCAAGAATATTACATTATCTTGATGCCTGGTATTAACAGATACAAAATTTAAAATATTTAAATCAAAATTATTATATAAGCACTTTATAACCAAGGAAATCGAGAGAAAGTGCAGTCTGTGGGTGAGGTATGGGACTCCAAGCTGCTTACATCTTACCGGGTAACTAATGTTAGGAATATTTGAATCGGAAGTAGCTCTCTTAGGTAGGCCTCGGCAAGAGCGAGTAAAACGGCGTTGGACCTTCTCACTGATTTCCTGATGGGAAGATGAACTGGCTGACCAAACAGGAGCGACATATTCTATTATGGGTCTACGAAGGGAGGAACACCACTTCATTAACACTGTGGGGTTATTGGTCTTGACTACTCGCCGGAAAAAACCACACAGTTTTGTTGACTTCGAAACAACATTATTTATGTGTTTCTTCCAGCTCAGATCTTGGGAAATTATGACACCTAAGTATTTGTAATGAGAGACGATCTCGAGGGAAGTCGAGCCAATGGAGTATGTAGGTCTGGGAGGATTTTTACTGCGGGTAACAGCCATGACTTTGTATTTCGATGGATTAAGGGACATTTTATTAATACTACACCAAGTTATAATATTGTTGAGATCGTTCTGCAAAACTGCCGTGTCATCTTCATGTCTAATCAGATGATATACTACTGTATCATCAGCATACTGACGAGTACTGGACAGGATATAGAATGGAAGGTCTGAAACAAAAATATTAAAAAGTAGAGGACCTAGAACTGAGCTTTGAGGGTGAGGTACACCGGAACCCAGTTCCCCACTGTGACTTTGTACCTTGGAAGATCACCGGTTGGAGTCTATTGCTGAGTTAGGAGTTGAACCATGACAGTGACGGAGCCACATATGCCATATTTGTGCAATTTGCCCAATAAGATGCCATGACTTATCCGATCGAAATTTGTAGGCTTTGGACCAGTCCAAAAAGATGACATGAGGGGGGGCCGACATCGATGGCTTGAGCCCATTCGTAATACACTGTGGACAATGGAGTTATGCATGAACGCTTTGGTAGAAAGCCATGTTGTACTTCGGTGATTACCCCTCGTTGTCTCATGTGAGTCAAAACACGATGACTAACGATTTTCTTCAAGAGTTTTACAACAGAAAATGGGGAAATTGGTCTGTAGTTGGACATGTCATGTGGATCGCCAGATTTAAAGATGGGCACTTCATGTGCAAGTTTCCAGTCGGAAGGAACGTCACCAAGTTGGAGACAAAATTGAAGAGTTTTGCAAGAGGCGTGGCTAGGCTGTCAAATTTCAGCACTGAGCTCTGGTGATATTTTATCTGGTCCTGCAGATTTTATACGTCCAGATTTGTTAGCAAGTCCTTGACTTCATAAGGATATGCAACTATTTTGGAAAGCCTGAAGTCACTGGGACGGCAGGTGATTGCATGCCCGTTTGAGAGTGAATTGCTTCAGGGGAACACGTAGTACCGGCAGTGTCTTTGGTGCAGTTGTTTTGAAAGATCTGATTGAAAGAGTTGGGGATGTCCATGTTGTCGGTGAGAACATGGTCTGAACCATTGTGGAAATCAGGTCTTCTTCCTTTGGGTGGTGACATAGGACCAGAATCGCTTTTGATTTGATGAGCTATCCGAGCAAAGATCATTCAAAAATGCATGATATGCCGGCGGTGAGGTGCTTCACATTACGTATGGCCCTGTACTTTTAAGTTCCCAGAGGTGGGTATTAGAAGGGGTCCACTAAACTTGCTGCTTTGAAGAGTCTGTATTTTTTGCCACATAAATGTACAATTTTAAAAGTAATCAACGGGCATCGATTTCTTCCTTTTGTTTGAGGAACAACATCTTTGACTGCAGCGAAGAAAAGGTCCTTGAATCTCTAATGTGCTTTTTGTTCTGTCCAATAGGATTTACCACAGCAATGAAAGTGATGTGAAGCTCTACGTTTTAACACTGGCACATGGGGCCACTGGAAAGGCCTGCATAATCACCTGAACAGGGCTCCAAACAGGATCTCGAAATGGTTGTGGTTAATGTTACAGTTAGTATTGAAATAAGATCAGTGTTTAACCACTTGACGCCGGATGACGTGTAAACGCACACATTTTTCCTTATTTGTTCCACGGAGGACGTGTATACTCGATCGGTTCAAGTAAGAATTTTCATTTTGCGGTTGATGTAAAAGTGCGTCGTGCTTAGTTGGATCATGGAGGAAGGAAGGACAGAGTACACTGTTCGAAACGTCGAGTTATTCCCCGGTTCTTCTCAGAACCACACCTACCCAAGAAAGAGATTGATCCACGGTGTAACCGCAATTGTTTTACTCATGTAGTTCTTTCACCATGAAACCCTTCTAATACTAAGGTACGAACAACTTGCATTGTTATGGGTGTGATGATCACGGCTCGAGTGCGTGCGCCGGAAACACGTGAAGGACTTTACGCAAGTCTTGGAAAAGCCCAGTTTAGTCTAAAGCCTAGTCTCCCGAATACAGAAATGTATATACTATGAATCAGGTACCACCCTGTAATCCGCACGCTGCGGTCCAAAGTCATTGCATCATGCACTAAGTCATACACATACATGTACTGTACATGTACAGTACATGCCGCGGACGTACAGTACATGTACATGTACACGTACTGTACATGGCAGTGCACACAGTACACGTACACGCAGCGAGCAGAAGGTCAAAGTACAACATATCCGTCCGTTTGATTCAGTGGAATTGCGTAATCCAAGTAACGATCGCGACGCCGGCAGTTTGCAGATGTTCGCAGTAACGGGTACACAGAAGACTTCGCAAGTCACATCAGAAAGCAACGAGAACCTAGGTAATGGAGTTAATTTCTGGTTTTGTTGGTATGGATCCCGAGCGACTGTACGATTACGAGGCCTAGCAAGAAGGTCAATTCTTTTACGGGCAGTGACGGGCCGACGTTGGTTTTTTTGGTATTCGATCTTCGCATTAGCCTGTTTACTGGACATGTTGGCGGGGCCCGCGGCGCCGCGCGCGTGGTGAATGAATTCGCCGAGGCTATTGCGTTAAATTATTTGCAGATCATAAACTTGTCAGTATTCTATTCATCATGAATCACCAGTAAAGTACATGTACCAGCATAAATTGTACGTGGCTGTAGGCTATGCCATTTCATCACAATTTCTCACAATCGTGACGATAAGTTTCATTTTCTACATGTTCTAGCACTTTTCAGCAATTGCATTTTTGTAATCATGGACATGGTCAGGGTCATTGGTAGTGTGCACGTAGGCCATGTACATGTAGGCCTTAATATCTGATCCTAATAGCCCTGTTTATTCAGTTCGTTGTCATTGAAGGGTAGGCCTGTGCAATATCAATTTTATTAAAAAAGTGAAATATCAGAGAAAAATATTGCGATATTCGCTGTTTTTGTGATGAAGTCATTTTTTTTCACGTCAGTCATTGACTCATTGCTGGTCACAAGCCCCACGTACACAGTCCCACGCAATGATCTGTAAAGCAAGACGATCCCTCTGCCTCCGTGTCGTAAATTCCCTGGTCAGCTAAGCCCATTTTCAATTCTATAGATTACCAAAGTGTGATGTCTCTGTGAACCAGAAAGTACAGTGCCAATGAATGGTGTAAGGGCGTGAGTTGGTTCACGCATTTTTCTCGCGCTAAAGCCTTTTACACAGTAATTGTGCACATGACATATTCACTTTGTTACATGTAGGCCTAAGGTACCCCAGAACTGTGGGGTCCAACGTCCGCCCCGCTCCCACGAACCCCACAGAAAACGAGCCTTTTTTGCCATTCAGAATTTTTCAGACCAGTCTTGTAGGATTTGTGTACAGGGTGTCAAGTGATATTTGGGTATGAAACTCTCTCAGTAATTCTGATGCATGCAGGCCAATATCATGAATATACATGTATTGACTTTCAGCATTACTTGCCTTTATTAAAAATCCATCTGAAACCTTGTCTAGAGTGAACAACAACTCCTTGGTTTTGGACCCTAAGTTGATCAAATTTTAAGTTCTTAGTTTGCTGACCAAAAATACAAAAGTGAACATTTTGAAAAAACACCAAAATTTGGGGGAATTGAGACTCAGTACTTACAGTAATACAGCGTATATCTTCTCACAAAATCAAATTGTATGATGTACATGTATGTGAGGACTGAGCTACAGCATGGAAATAAGAAGCATGAAAACAGTCTTGTCGCAGAGGTGAAATGTCCCCATCCCTCCACCGTCCTTCCAAAAAAGGAGAAAAGACATGAAGAATTCCACTCGTGGACATCATAAATTTCTCTGCAATGACATACACATACAGTGTACAGTAGTAGCCGCTATAAAGTGACAACACTGCTAATATGTTAATACACGTAAGGCAAATTTAGTAGGGAAGATGTTGACATATTTACCGGTACCCTTAGAACTTTTCAGACCAGTCTCACAAGCTTTGTGAACTGGGCATCAAGTGACATGCGCGTATCAAACTCTTTCCAAAAGACAAAACAAAGAAACTTAAAACAAAAACATCAGACTTTCAAAATGCAACAAGAGGTTTTTGGTTGTCTGTTTTCAGAATTAAGAAAGGTAGAGCGCATTTGTTTGTTTAACAGAGGGGAGAGAAGGCCTTTGTTTTAGCGATGGCTTCATTATTTCTTGAATCTATGATAATACATGTACTTACCTGTACATGTGCGTGCGGAAGGAGCTAACACCCTGTCTATGGAACAGGTTTTGAACTACAAAAATCAACTGAACATGTATGATGCACTTCAAAGAAACTTTCGAAGAAAAAGAAAGCTGGCAGGGACAAGATACATATTTGGATTGGCTTAATAACTAGCAGTTTCGCTATGTGCTACATTAATTGCCCAATGAAATGCTCCGAACGAGTTACGTGTAGTTCAGTATTTCATAAAGGCAAGGTCTTTCAGGGGCACGGTATGCCTGTGAGTTGGCATATGGCTCAGCTAGTAGGACAAACTATCTCTAGTGTGCTGCTGCTGTTCTGAAATAGCGTCAGACATGCTTTCATTTGGGCATGTGCTGTTGGAATAGCAAGCTGGCTCATTGTGCCTGTGCTCAGTTATCCGAAACACTCATTTTGAATCCGTCAATTTTTTTGGAATTTACTGAGGTAGGTCGCAACCTTGTCAGCATGAAGACCGAAGCTACCAATCCAGCAGCTGAGCCCATGGAGACTGGTCCGGGCAACGTGGTGGTTTTGGACAGTACCCCTGGGGTGGACATCATCACTCGCGTGGCCAACATCCCTGTGGTGAGCTCGACCATTGGCCAGGTACAGTCATCACCTTATTTCTCTGTTCCTTGTTGTAGGCAGGAGTCTGTAAAGATAGGTTGCGTTAGTCATTGGAAGATTACAATTTCATATTCAATGCCATCGGTGTGCGTAGTGTGCAGATGTTCTATACGCACGCATGTTAATCTAGATATCTTTTTTAAAAAGTGCAGCCGATGTACATTATGAAAATTTGACGTCCAAAATGCTGATCTACGGTATGTAGCAGTCCAAAGGAAGTGATGTCATTTGAGAGAGATCTCTTCAAGTGATGCATTGCGCATAGGTGTGATTTCGTTGGATTTTTCAAGCTTTCAGAATTTGATCCAAACCTACGGAGTAAGGTTTTGGAACCAAGTCGGGTTTTGCTATGTTTTTGCCTGGGGTACCCCCCAAAAAAACAATCGTACTGCAAGGATTCACATAATTATAGTTGTTTAAAAGAGAGAGATCAAGCCTAAAACAGCATTTTGATGTCACCTTGGGCTGGAGGTTTCATTGGTATCTCTTCATCTTCCAATTTCAACCCTGATCTATCCATGGAAAGTGATTACAGTTTCTTACCAGTGCTTCAGAGCGTACACATATTGGCCACTCGTAACCACCAGTCACAGTCTTGCATTGCAGGGCAGACCTGCATGTTCATGTACAGATCCAATCTTCCCATTGCTATAAACTTTAAAAGGAAACTTTTGCAATGAAAGTCCCATTCCGTTAGTACAAAAAAATTGGTACTTGTTTGCTCACTGTGGAGTCTAGTGCAATGTCTTCTTACCAGGCAGAAACTGACTTGCCTTGTGCCACAGAGAGCAAGCATGTCCAACTTTGCAGTACATGTAGGTCTAAAGAAACAAAACAGGATATCTACATGTAGGTTTAACCCTAACTACCCCAAACCTACCATACTCCAACAGTAGGTTTTGTGAGATTTTAGCAGGTTTGGTACCGCAACTGATGAACTCGTTGAATTTTGTGAGACTTCCGAGGAAAGGTCCAGGGAGATAGTGTTGGATTCTGTGTGAGTTAAGGCAAACAGGATTCAGTGTCTGGCCTGCTCTACCAATTGTTGGACTATGCTTGATTTTGTCAGGTTTGGTACTGTTCAGTGCAGTCATCCTGTACTGCCTAGACCCATCCACACCATATCACTCAAACTCCAACGGGCTCATTCTGTTGGAATTTATCAGGTTTGGTACAGTGACCTACATGTACATGTACAAGTACATAGACAAGTACATGTACATGCACCTGTTGGATTTTGTGAGGTCCAGTGTGCTTTCTAGTGCAGGAGCCTGGGGGGTTAGGGTTAATACAAAGAGAACATGCATCAGTGGTTACAATGCTTACCATGACACTTTTGTCTCCTTGTTGCGTGCAGGTGGCCAATGTGTACACTTGGACAAAGGAGAAAAGCACTCTCGCCAACAAGGCTTTAGGATATGCCGAGAAGTCAGTTGTCGTGGCAGCTCAAACTGCCAAGCCGGTGGTTGACCACTTTGAGAAGCCACGTAAGATACCACCACATCATCCTTTTTGTTTTTGTAGTCCCGTAACCTACACTTGTGTATTTGGTCATATGTGTCATACATGTATGCCTGTTACCAGGTAAATGTAAGTACCGGTATGATTTATGAACTCCACACTTCCTGTCTTTTACATGAAGCCTGCTTACAGACTTTCTGCATTCATTGTTCACGTATGTGTTTTGTCTCAGCTTTGGAATGCTCATTAAGCACTCTTTGAAATCCGCAGGCCAAAAGTTGGTTAATAATTTTTGTCGAGTGTCACGACTATGAAGTTGAAGTGTTATTTGGTGTTTTCTGGTCTTCTTCTAGTTACTATGGCGAGCGATTTTGCTTGCTATCAGTTGGACAAGCTGGAGGAGAAGGTTCCCCTGATCAGCAAGCCGACTGAAGAGGTATGCCCAGTACACAGTAACAGTTAATAATAATAATAACAAGCACTTGTGAAGCGCCATCTACAGTATCTAGCAAACCATTCTGAGGCACTGTATTACCATTACCAATGGGCTCACACATCATCTGAACATTCCTGAAACCGTCTCAGCTCCCTTGGGAGTATACATCAACAGGTCCTTTCCCAGCGCAAAGATGTCTGCATATATTGGATCATAAATGACCCCAAAATTGTTCAAATCTGGCAATCTCGGTGGCATCTGAAAGGGCACATGTACCAGCCCGATGCTGCCATTTTCGGCGCAAATGGCTAAACACAACTGTGTCTGCCCTCACAGGTACCCATTTACTCATGGGTGGAGAGAGGCATGTCGGGGTAAGGTGACTTGCCCAAGATCACAACATGCTGCCATCAGCTGGATTCGAACCCCTGACCCTATGACCAGAAGCTACTAACCCTAACCACCAGGCCACATGCCTCCTTAATTCCACCTGTATTGTTGAAGAGAACATCACATCAAAATGGGCAGTAAATGTTGCCCGCTTTGGTGTCTTTAGTGTGTAGAACACAGACACAATACATTATTTCATGTTCCACTCAAGCATGAGGGATCTCCTCAAGCAAAACTGACGTGCACCAAGGATTTGAGTGTGCTTGGAGATAATGGCCTCACATAGTGGCTGGCAATCAGGAAGTATTCTTTTCATCTACATGTAAATATTCAACATGGACAAATGGTTCATTTAACTTTGATGAAACACAAAATTTGCTGCAATACTGCCAACCGACTTCACTGACCTGAAATATGCAAAGCAAACAGTTCAGAGGGCTTGCATTCCAGCCCTGGCAATAATCTTTATCAAAGGCAAAAGATGCAAAGGCTTTGATAAAGATTCAGCTAGGATCAAAATGCCAGATGGTCTGATTGTTGATTTGTTTAAAAGCTGCTATTTCATCCCAGTTGTGGCTTGTTCACTATTCTTGCTCGAATGTTCATTCAAGGGAAACGCTGTCAGCTATTAAAAACCAGCATTGCCCCAAATACACGTAGCTAGAGTCGTTAAGCAACAACGTTGCCTGAATGGTGGATGGTTTGGACCATCCAGTCCTCTATTTGGAACAAGGCCTTGGGACATTTTTGCACTGCTGGTTGTCCATAGCCAATTTCATTCATTACATCAGATGGAACCATTCACTTGAAAATAATTGTCCAAGATGTCATCAACCAAAAATGCTACATGAGAGTCCCAGCTGAAGGCAAATGTGAGTCTGCATTGTTAGCAAGCAGTTGACTTGTGGTCGAACTGCAGTCCGTACCCGAACTTGCTCCATAATTTCTTGACCAAGCTTGCTCAAAGTCGTGTCTTCTCCTGGCAGGTGGTGGCCACAATCCAAGATGGCACCCGTCAGGTGATCGAGGGCACCAAGCAGAAGGGTGCTGACGGCCTGAACGCTTTGATGAACACCCGCGTGGGCAAGGCGGTCACCTTTGGACTGGACACGGCCCTCGCTGTGTCTGAGTTTGCTGTGGAGTACTACCTGCCTCCTGATGATGCAGGTGAGAAATTGGAGGGGAGGGGATGGTTGTTTGTTTGTCAGTTTGTCTGTCTGTTGTCTCTTTGGTCTCCATCTACACTTGCTTCATCTCATGAAGGCTGGGATGGGGGTTTGTTGGCTTTAAGGGGAGTGAGGTCCAGTGGTTAGTGAGCTTCAGTGGTTAGTGAGCTTCAGTGGTTAGTGAGCTTTGAGTGTTAAATATTAGTGACTTTTTTATGACCCTTCAAAAAAGGAAAGGTAAAGCGGTTGGTTTTCCTGGGAGCATCGTTTTTATTGAGTTAATGTACTTATGTGCTTGTGTACAGTGTACCGCTGTAACTTCACTGGAAGTAAAGAACGTTTGAAATTGTACATGTATTGTTCAAATTCATGAGTTTTTGAAATGGTATAGTCAGTGCCCTGACTTCACTTTTAATTCGGAGAAGCCTGTGGTGGATGTACATGTAGTTCATTTTCTAAAAGCAGATTGTGCGTATGATGGAATTGTTTTCAGTTTCGCAACTTTGCTTTTAGCTAGAGTTGAGGATATGATGAAATATTCACCTGTTATCGACATCCCTCCCCATTTGGCCCCCCCCCAGAAAGAATATCGAGCAAAGGTTGCAAGATACATTCACCCTATCTCTAAGGTCAGATCCCATAGCCCATACCAGCATTAAGTCAGCCCTGCTTCAGGAGAACAGTTGATAATAGTTGATAAAAATAGCATTTATCATCAAGTCAACAAGAGACAATGGTATGCTGCATGTTTTTTTTCTCCAGCAGTTCAAATAATCTGTTGAACAAAGCGTCGTCTAGCCATTCTTTGTTTAGGGATAGGAATATCTGTGAGTCATTCTGTTTGTTACTTTATTTTACGATTCGACACTTGATAAAGAAACCAGCAGACTTTGTCAAATGAGAACAAAGTGTTTATTAGCCACAAACTGTGGAAGGAGGCCAGTTCGGAGGTATTTTCAAGCAAATTGGTGAATTTCATTCCCTCCTTTCAGGCTTGTATCACTTTGCTTTTTTTTAATTCCATACCCCGCGGGGGGAGGGGGGCATTCTGCCATTGCAGTGCCCATTCCTTGTTAACTACATGTACCTCATTTGCTGAAATGAACCACTTCTAAACCAGGTATCGGTTTGCATATTTTTCTCCTGTCCTTTTGAAATACATGAGTAAATATTAACTCGGTCTGAATGTTGCACATTATTAAAGTTTAAGCATTTGTTGTTCAGGGCCTTTTAAATCCCAGGTGTTATTTGATCACCTTTGAAATGGACGCTTCTTTACTTAATTTGTCTGTGTCTGAGTTGTTATCAGAGCTAATTATGGAATGGGTAGATGTGTGCAGTACTGTATGTGGATACTGGTGACTTTTTGACCTGTCATTTCGATTTAGCTGATAAAATGACCTCATCACAGTGATTCAAGGATTTATGTAAGATCTGTTGTGACAGTACAGCTCACCTCTTAATGAAGGACAAAGAAATCAGAGTAGAGACGTGATACGTGTAGTTTCAGGGACAAAAACTTTGTTTCTTGGATGGTCAAATGGTTGTGGGGCTTAAAATGAATGATGATGAAAGATGTTAAAAAAGGTCGGCTGAAATTTCCGTGGAATCTGATATTTCATGAAAAGTGTGATTCTGAAGTGCAGTAATTTTGCTCAGAGTGAAAAAATGTACATGTATAGAATTGACTGAAAATGTGGGCAATATAAGTCAAATAATACAAGTGAAATTGCCTCCTCCATTTCCGTATTTCAGTCACAGCAAATAGTGACACTGTTCACAGAAAAGTACCATCGTCCTGTCTCTATTAGTGTGCCTGGATGAACCAGTGTCTTTCTTTTGACTTTCCCCTGAATTAATGTATTCCATGAACTAATGTACATGTACGTGTGGTACAAATCCATAAAACTAGATTTCCAGTAACAAAGAATAAAACAGTAGGTTGTTACGTGACAAAAATTGGCTGCAATATCCTTACTGCGATTCAAAATGACCACATGCATACATGTACATGTACCGGTATACCAGCACTGGCATGTTTCTGTCATTATTTTTTTGCTTTTTTCCTGCATGGAGAACAACGTCATTTCTCATCCAATTTATCGTATCTGGGATCGATGTACATGTAGGTGAAGGGTTTCTGTAACAAGTGTGCCAGGTTATGGTTCAGAACTTCCTGGTTGAGTTACAGGCATGTTGCCACAACTGTAATTTATCGTTTGGAATGTATTTGCAGGAAATGACAGATCCACATGTAACATAAACCACATTCTCGGGAAACGGGAGGAAAATTAAATGGGGTCACCTTAATGAATCACCTCAAAACAGTAACCGATCCTGGTATCCCAGTAAAAGCCAGGGCAGTAATGCGTGTAAGAAAAACCATGAATTTTTGTGTCCTGTTTTTGATGATGTACATGTACTATACAGTGCAGGGTAGCACTTCTCCATGTATGAAAACTTTACTTAGCTCATGGTGCTAACTCCATGATTAGATTGTACCAAATGTGTCTGAACAAATTGATAAAACAAGGAAGTTTGCAACAAAATAAAATCTTTTTATAAGTAGGTGAAGGGCCGTTGTTGCATACGTTTACATGTCGTCTTAGTCGTCAGCCATAAATCCATGTGTTCTTGCAAATGTTATTTGATCCTGCATGTTGTGTAGTTGGGACTGTCAGAAATGTCAAGCAAGCTGATTGGCTGATACCTGCAGGGCTCGACCTTAACGCTAGCCCAGCGTACAATGGCTAGTAAAAACCCCTTCCCAACTTGCCCGGCGGGCAAGTTAAAAAATGTACACGTTCGCACCTTGAATCCTGTATTGTGTGCTGGGACAACGTACATGTACATTGTACCTAGTACATGTACCTATCATCAACGCATCAACGATAGTTTCTCCAGTAGTCAGTGACCCCTATATATGACCAATATAGTTAACATACAATTCGTACTAGATACCACAAACCGATACTGCATCCATAGACTGGTGCGATCCAGTTCGTAAGTGACTTTGTCGCACCACTGATTGCAAGCCCCTCATTGGACAATCATGCCTGGTGAGTGAGTGGGGAATGGGAACCAGTCTACCTACGAACAGCTATCATCCAACGTGATAGCGGTTGATAGAAACGTCGTGATGGACCAAGACTTATGTTGTGACAGCGAGGAGAACGAATATCCGGACTCCACTACCAGCGACAGTGATTTCTAGCCAACCATGAACAACAGTCAACAACGTTCTGAAGTCAAAAACAGAGGCCAATATTTGTACCAGTACTGTACCTACGTGTATCATTGTCTTTATGTACTCATAATAATGGTTTATACGTGTACAAAATGTTGTCCATGTATTTTTTTGGTGGTCAGAGAGGAAGCAGGCAATCAAGGATGACTATGACGAGCAGGAGGAGGAGAAGAGGGAGACGCCCACCTCCATCCAGCGCGTCGGCACCCTGACTCAGAAGGTGCGCCGCCGTGTCCACAAGAAGGCACTGGCGAACATCCGCTACGCCCAGAAACGCAGCCAGGAGACCATCCAGAAGCTGCACTTCACTGTGGATCTGGTAAGCAGAAGTCACAGCTGCTTGTTTTAATGTTTTGACTTCAAGGAAGTCAACTGTAGACAGCCAGCCGGGAAGTCCATGTTCCATGCTTGACTAGTGGAGAGCAAGTGTGGTTCATAGTTGAAAAAATTGTCTACAAAACCAGTAAGAGTTATTCCCACTAAGTTAAAAAAAGACGAGCAAGGCACTAGATCAATAAGAATGTGATCATTCGAACTGTCAACAACATTTCAACCAATCATAGAGTGATGGAGAAGGACATTGCTGTAAACTTCTGGACACTTTTTAATGGCTTTTTAGTTTTCTCAGTTTTCTCATGAACCCTCCTTTGCAAAGACACATTCTTGACACAGTTCTCCTATCAGTCAAAACCAGTCCAATTTCCCATATGTATCTGTGTACGGGGGGAAATCAAGTGGAAGCAATTGTTGACTGTTTTTGACAGTTACAGCAAAAGGAGGGTTCAAGAGCACACACTGATAGCGCTTGATAAGTGGAGTGCTTCACTGATCAGCGTTATTCTCCTAATTGCAATTTTGATTGGTGTATTTCAACACAGATCGATTATGCGAAGAAAAGCATCGATGGAGCCAATCAGACCATCCGGACCAATGCAGAAGCAGCTCAGGAGAAGCTTTGGAACACCTGGAATGATTGGACAACCACCGAGGAGGGAAAGGATGAAAAGACCGAGAATTCAGAGGTGGAAAACAAGGTAGACAGAAGTGATATAATGGTTAGACTGTGGGGTTTGTCCCCAAACTATTTCCTTCAGGACAAAATTAGATAACATACTACCTACAACACCGTTTCGTGCCTTGACAAATATAGATAGCAAAGCACTGTTTGTGTCTGGTTTCATCATCTGACTACAGCTACTCAGCTACAGTTTTTGTTTTTTTTTTCCTGAATGCGGTCCGTTGGTTGATCAGTGCAACACAGTCAAGTGCAGTTTTTTTTTGTCTGACAAATTATTCTAAGCATATTGACCTCAACAAGTTCAGTTAACAGGATCTAAGCCCTGACCTGGCCCAACTTTGCACATACATGTAGTCATTGTATAGTATGTCTTCAGATTTCAGTATTTGCGGAACCACTGAAGCAGTCTGAATATTCGAGGTGGTGTCTCCTTGCATTTTGTACTTATGCAAATATAAAATAATCAGTGATAGAGTGCTTTGTAGTTTGATCTAAATGACTCGACTGGAGCTACTGGTTTGGCCTTAAATTGCATCATATGCCAATTGCCCGAACCTGCTTGATGAAACATAGGATTTCCAGTTTTGAGGCAAAAGAATAATTCAGGCTATTTCTTCTGAAATGCTGGACTTATGTCGGGTCTTGAAATGGCATGTTTAGGCTTCTCTAGCCTTTTCTTCAGGCATTAGACAAGATCCTGTCTGGTATCCCCAATCGACATGGCCTTGATGGAGCAAATTTTCCATTTCTCACCAGGAGGGAGAGCAGAAGACAATGGCCATTGCACGGGAGCTGGCCGCCCGCCTGCGCGGTCTCACCCACAATGTAGCCAACTCGGTTGCCGTCCTGCCCCAACAGATCCGTGGCAAGGTGGAGGAGGCCAGAGCCACGGCCGACAGCATCTACCACTCATTTGAAGAGGTACGGAGACATAAAGATCTCAGGAATGTAGTGAGGTTGCCGTTAGCATTGGCCATGCTCTTGGCATTCATTACATGATAAGATCGGCACATCATGACCTGGGGGTGCTCAATGACCTTCTTTTATACACCCAAACCTTTCCAGATCTGTCCTGTCCAACCGTAGAACCCCTGAAGGTTGGGGCATTCCTCCTGCTGTCAAACAATCCCTGTTCTGGTTTTGCAGCACAGAACTGCATGTATTAAGCTCCCATCAGCTCCATTCTGTGATTTTTAGGGACAGTCCAAGTAACTCCATGAATCTCATTGAAAGTCGAAGGTTGTCACAGGATCGGCAGGAGTGAACAAGTCTCATTCGTACATGCATTAGCTAGAACACCAGCATCTGAGCCCAGTCTCATTGCCTTGCCAGGTGAAAGACATGCTCAGAAAGTTGTCGTGCTAAGGGCAGCTTCATGCAGAAGTGGAAATGGGCCATGCTATTACCAACCTCATTGCTGTTCCTAATTTGTACACAGAGATGAGTTTTTTTCACAACCAAAGGTGGAAATAAACAGTAGCGGTACTACAAGTTAGTTCCACTTTCATGGATTTTCTGTTTCTTTTTTGTACTTGAATACAAATATATGAAATAACAAGGTTAGTGTTAATATGAATGGTTCCTACTTTGGCCTGGAATTGCCCCTAGACAAAATGGAGTAGAGAGCCACTCCCAAGTACAGTGAATATTACACTGAGCATAGCATTTTGGCTGATAAACCAATTTTTGTGTTTTTTTTCGCTGAGTAGATATTTTCTTTGCTTAGCATTTCCATTTACTTTCCATTTTCCCCTTCCTGTGTTCACATAGGCTCACTATTTGAGTGACGTGTCCACCAGCATGCTGAACACTTGCCGGGACCAGCTCAACAATCTGTCTCACGTTGGCATGCAGGTGGTGGACTATGTCATCAACTCTCCACCCCTCCAGTGGCTGGTAAGTATGCATTCGAATTATGCCGCCATTGGCTGCCTGGAAACCATGGAAGCCATTGGCTGGTAGCTTCAGCCATTTCATGGAATGTGGCAATCCATTCTGGGCTTGAATCATTGCTTTCATTCATGTGCTTGTTTTATCAATTCTGCAACAGTTTTGTTTTTCGTTTAATGCAGTAAATTCACCTGCACTACATTGTGTGTGCAAAAACTTTCTTAATTGTGAACTTTCTGAATGGTCTTTTAAAAACCTCTATCTGTCCTCCATTCATTTGCCCAATTTCTGCCAAAGTTGAGCACATCCACAATATCTGATAAATATTACAAGAAAGGCAGAACTGGTAACACAGATACATGTGTCAGTGTGATTGCCAACGTAATTTACAGCACAGTACATGCCCCCCCCCAAAAAAAAAATTTGTGTTGGCTTGTGAGTCTGAATTGCAAATAGCCCTTTCTCTGTGAAAAGTGAATGGCGACTCCAATGTAAAAAGTGAACATGCCACTCCCCTCATATATAGTCCTTTGATGGGAGTTTCTGAACTAAAGAAATCTACCAGGATATTGTTGAAGGGTGTCATTACAAATGCACGATTGTTACTTTGTGGCCTTGAATCCCCACCATGTGTTCCAAGTGCTTCATCTCTCCTCATTTTGTAACGTTCCCTTTCCCCCTTTGCTTCTGTGTCCATTCTCTGCAGGTTCCAAGCGAGGTAAGAGTTGGCTTTGTGTAGTTGTCCGTCATTCCATCTCATCCATCCATCTATCTTACATGAGTGGGCCCGATCAGTTCACCTCTCAATTCTAGACAAGTGAAATTTTCAGCCTTCAACCTTTTCCAGAATGCACAGAGGCATGCAACTTACGTCTCTCTTTTTTTTTTCCTGGCATGACATTAAGTCTGGCAAAAACACTACCCGTAGTCTGTACAATCTGGAATTTTCTCATTCTTGTCCAAACTCCAAGTTGCATGCCTGAACTCTCTTGTCCTCGCACAAATAAGGCACTCTGCCCCTGAAACCGTTACAAAGGTAATTCCAGAAATTAGGGGTCCAAAAGTGACCTTTTTTTGCCCCTGTTGCATTTGACTTTTGTTATTTGACACGGAAATATCACTGGAATGACTATTACTATTTGTTTGACAGGTAATTTGAATAAATTCATTTTTAGAAAATGTTTTCTGAACTTACGAAATCATATGTCAGATGTGACAGGGACACGAAAAAAGTGGACCCCTAATTTCTGGAATTACCCATATGTGAGAGCCAAACATACCGTATATTCTAGTACGTCAAGTTCCTTGACATAATGTAATTTGAGTCACCGATTCAAAGAGTTACATTAGATGTAGACATTGTCAAGGTTTGTACCCCTATGGTGTCTTGAATAGAGGCCAATCACAACACCATTCACCACCAAGAGGTTGCCACAGAGAGGCATTTTTCAAGTTTATGGTTGACTAAAGCATGACTGCCTTGCCACGATTTGCATTTAACCATTTGTCAGCAGACAATTTGGGGGATATATTGATAGATTGGGACATTCCATGCAGTAGAAAGAAGCAACGATTAACAGAAAATGTTGGGAATAATTCAAGTTCCTTTTGCATAGCCGCCAAATAAGATTTGTCGACCATTTCCCACAGTGCACTGCGAAGAATGGCCTTTCCGTTGCAACCTCTTGATGGCACACTGTATTTTGAATCACCCGTATTGCCAGCGTTAAATTTATCTAATAACCCAAAGGAGGGCTCGTGTTTTCATACATCTCTGAATACATTCTGAATTGAGATGAGATCAGTACATTTCCAGGGCATAATTATCTTCTCAGCCGCAATAACATATCCTGCCTCAGTGAGGTTTTTAAAAAGTGTGACAGCTATGTTTGCACTATAAATTGAATCATTCCCCATCTGTGATAATCGGCGCACAGCTGACACATTTTCCTTCCACCACCAACAGCTGTTGGACGATATGACTTGCCCATAATGAATGAGATGCTGTTATGACTTGGCAGTGTGATGCAGTAGACATGGCTTGTCTTGAGACCTGATTTTCATCAAGTTGCCCCGGGCGGTCAGACAATATGAATCATGTTTTATCCTTCCTATGAGAATTCATATCTAACATGTTCCCTCTCCCTCAAAACCAAAAAAAGAAAAGATTGTGCACAGCAAGGACGATACTGTTCTGAAGACTTAAGCTGCTCTATTGTTTCCCATTTTGGGAGAAAGGATGGAATGTTGCATCTTTCGTGTTTGCGAAGCCAAATGTGACAGTTGAACTGAGTCCTGTTTTCCAAGATGAATACTGATTTCAGAACATAATTATGACATTGCATCATTTCCATGTTGACTTTCCGTAAAATATCTTGCTTAAAATGTGTGTTTCCAGATCACATTATTTTGTTTGAATGTAAACAGGGAGCAAAACTGTTCGTGATGTTCTCAAACTTGGTGTTTACAAACGTGTAGAGCAGTTACATGTATGATCCCATGATCACTAAAGTTATGGTGATGAACTTACAAGAGGAAACACATCTCCATTTTTGTACATGTACAATGTAGTTACCTAATGTGGAGATGGAAGGTATCGAGTTTGACTACGTACCCGGCTCGGACCAGAACGACGTGGATTTGACCAGTGACTCCAGTGAATTCTAGGCACGGTGACATCTGCTATCAATATGTGGTCAACAGGTTGTCTCAAGCAATCAATTGATGTCTGGACATTGAGAATGGCATGACAATCGGACAATAAACTCTTGTTTGTTTGTTTGTTTGTTTTTTCCATGTTCTTCACGTAGTTGCATTAACAGGGGTGTGAAAATTCAAATTTTTAAGTGATTTCAGTTTTTTTAGTATAGATGTTGACCCTCAATTTCAGCTTTTCTCTGCACCTGCTGTGCACAAATGTATAGGGACTTCTTTCATTTTAGCTATTTGCTAGCTGTTTTCAGCTTAAGTGGTTACTCACACCCCTAATTAACTAACTAGAGTAGGATACAGTGCTAGTAGCATGTACATGTAGGCTTTCAGTAAGTGGAGTTTTCCTCAATTTCTGAACTTTTAGAATAATGGATTGACTTGATCAAGATATGCATGATCATTCATCATTATCATTAAAAAGCCTTTACAATTGTTTGTCATAGATGTCATGTAAGGTCACCACAGGTCTGCATGATTGAGATTGGTTTGCAGTTCTTGCAGTAGAATTCACACATGTGCTACAGTGGATAATCTTACACTTGATAGATTACATTTTGTTGGTAATTTGTTGTGGAAATCCAGGATTTTTAAATTAAATTTAAATTTTTTGCTGCACATAGAACTGTGCATTAAGAAATCAGCCAATCATGTATGTACATGTACTGTCGCCCAATCCTTTAAGAGCAGTCAGAACAATTCCATATCCTACAAGATGAAAACAGGAAAATTGCCAATTTTCCTGGGGTTTCTCAGGAAGGGTACCGGATGAGCTTAGATTGTGCATGACTGGCAAAAGAGTAGCGTCTGGCAAAACAAAATTTCACATTGGGGATATGCCTCTCCTTGAGAAACTCCATTTTGAAGAAGTGAGCCCTCAGTGGAACCAAGAGGATTGTTGATATCCAGATGCACGAATGTACATGTACCTGTATGAAGCTGGCACTCTGATGTAAACCGTACTTCATCTGTTTTTCCAGTTCAGTACCAAGTAACAACCGTGTTCATTTGATCATGTTGGAAGCATAATGCAATTTTGTGACCAGACTTAGGAGTAATTACTGTGGCGGCACAACATCCCTGGACAGGTGGTATCTACATATTACACTACTCTTTCACAAGTAGGGAAAGAGTTGTGAATTGCCAATTATGCATGTGCTTGTCCAGCTTAAGAGCACCGATGCAAGTGAGGTACTTCTGCACTCATGGCATCTCTTCAGATTAGTCTACAACCATTCTCCATTTCACCAAGGCCTTCGAAGCCACGGACAGTGATAAGTTCAAACCATTTCTGAAGGTCATCTGTGATTGGTTCTTTTGTACACAACATATACATGGACATGTATAGTATGCTAATACCTAAGTAAGACTGAAGTCTGTGTAAGATATATTTCTCACTTGGCTATGCAGTATTGCACCGTGGTTTATATGCTCATGGTATGATTGATGTTGAACATTCTGGAAACCAGACTCGAGCACTGCACTGAACTTAAGTGGATACCTTTCCAGGAATGCATATCTGGGCTGAGCCACACCCATTTTAAAATATTTGTGATAAATGAAATACCCACATTCTCTTGATGAAAAATAAATACTAGGTTGCCTAAGTCAGAAGTGTTGAATCAAACAACATTGCACTATTTTCTCTCAAAAAAGGAAATGTAAGTGATGTTTGATAAGTTAGCTTCTTGTTAAGTGGATTCTTTTGTAGTAGATAGTAGCATATGCATTTGAATCTCTGTTGACAGAATAAAATGCACGTAATTGCAGCATATTTGAAGTGTGCAACTTTGTCAGGTTGTTGGTTTGCATTTTTATTTTGCCGAGATATTCACTTTTTTACTTTGATTTAAGAATAGAAGGGAGACTGCAAAATTGGGATGGGGGGGCGGCATGGATGACAAAACAGAGTGTGCCTGGAGGGTGTATGCACTGCCTTGAACATTTTCTACTATGGCTTGGACATACATCTTCATGGTAAGGCAACAAAAGCTCTCTCATACGAACCAAGTTTCTTGGTGCAATGCACTTCCTGTGATAGTTTGTACATGTATGTGGGCGTCTACTGTGAACTGTACATGATTAATCTTGCAAGTCTGTGGAGTGTTTATATGGGTGCCGGGTGTAATGTGCAAATGGCATTCCACCGTCACCCTTGTCTCTGCCATCATGTGAGGGGGGTGCTTGTGTGCGCAAAGCCATGAGTTGAAGCATCTTCAGATTAGAAGGCATTTTGGGTCCCAAGTCCACACATCTGACAGGCAAAATGTTTTGTTCAAATTGGGCACTTACAGGCAGCTGGTCAAAAGTAGGTTTCTAATGCCAATATAGTACAGATCTACCCTTGCCAATGATGCTTTAGACAGATCCCACTTCCACAAATATGCTGCCAGGCAAAATCACACTGAATCACAATTCAACCCACTTCAGCGTCCAAGTCTTTTGCCACGATTTTGACAGCAACACCAGTCAAAGGAAGCTTACACGTGAAAACTACTTCGCATTTCAATTTTTATTACTGCCATGACATGCATTGTGCTTATACATTACCACAGGCTGACATGCTACATAAATATGCTCTATATGCACTCGCAAAGAATTGCTCAAAGAAAATCGTAAAAAACTCAAAGCAGGTTTCTTGAAATTGCTTTTATGAATGATTGTCTTGATACATTGTACTTAGCAATACCCAATAATCAATACTTCATGTGAACAATTTGTTAAAACTAGGATAATGGATCCAAACACCTGTGAAGTCCGTTTCTATTGCATCTATAAAGAACCCACATAAATTATGTCATCATATGTTTGTTAACTGCAGATGGTCAGTTACAGTATGTGGTATATAATTTAAGGAGAATTACACATGGCATAAAGGGTGATCCACTATGGTGAACTTAGAATTACACATGGCATAAAGGGTGATCCACTATGGAACACTTAGAATTACATATGGCATAAAGGGTGATCAACTACGGTACAGTTAAGGTTACTCATGCTTGCACATCACATTTGCAGGTTTTACTACAATGTATTACATCCATGATCAGAGGAACAGTCTAGAATAGTAAGAATAAAGAGTAAGAATAATGCAAGAAACTGCCGAGTTGATTGGCATATTACAAAAATATGACCAAAAAAGTATTGCAAATACAAGAATGATGTAATTAAATAACACTGCAATTCTCTAATTCTATTGCAGATTAAGACGGTCAAATTAAATACAATTAGCAACAAAATTTACTGCACCAAGTCTGTGGTGACTAGTGGTGACCCTATTTTCTAGGCAATGTTTCTGTCTGTGGTTCTTAAGTTTTTTGAATTGAATTCTGCCAACTGAGAAGATAACATATACCTGGAAGTATAAAGAGGAACAAAATAATTGTGCTATCGGCACACACGACTGAGACGACTATCCATTGTGGGACCATACAGTAAAAAAAGCGATAACTTTGTGACAGTGCAAATCAGTGTACAAGTATGCCATTAAAGGCACCACACTTTCATGAGGCCTGCATTTTCTTGTTACCATATCTGCTCTCTTTCCTGTGGGCTTTAAATCTACGAGGGCAAATCTTCAGCAAGCATGAAAGTGGCTCTGAAATTCAAAACAGAATAATATGTAAAGACATGGGCAGTCGATGGGAGTTTACAATGCCCATAAATAACCTTGTCGCGTTATAACTCTTGTAGTTTGGAACTGCTTGAAGTGAAACATTTAAAAAGGAAATCACTATGTGCAGGTTAATGGGGTGAAGTGCTGATTATTGAGATGAAACACTATCAAATGTAGGCTTCGTTCATAAAACGATGATCCTTTTCTACCCATTAACTTACAGAAAAAAATGCAACTACCACTGGTTGCTTTGAAATCTTTGTTAGACAATATATCATCAAGAACAAGATTGACAATCCACACAGTATGCAGTGTCAATGTTCCTTCTGTTAAACCTACATGTAGCATGGTGACATTAACAAAATGCTATTTGACAGGGGTAACACGTTTATGACATGATGGATAGCTATTCAAATGTACAGACCATGTACTAGCCAAGATGTATAATACAAACTCATATGTGAGATCCTAAAGCAAGAAGTGTTCACACAATAACATTTGCAACTTAAGTGACAACGGAAGATCATATCAAATTAAATTTATGCAGAGTTCCATGACCAGCATTGTTGACAACACAAACATTTACAGACACATCTGATTTCATTAAGACAATTAAAAGATAACTGAACACTGTGTAGCAAAAAATAAACAGCAAACGGGAAAAAAATATAAATTCAATATTATTCCAATTTTTTTTGTAACCAAACCAAATATTTACAGGTTTTTTTTTTTCATATTGCATGGAATTTTTTTGGCAAACATACAAACACAAAAGGCAGAGCTTCATTGAAAAAATGTAAACCTAAAAATCAAAACAAATTGGCAAGAACCTAAGCACACAAAGTTCTAAGTATTTCACCTTTTGGAAACAACCTCATCACAAAAATGCTTCTGTGTTAGGATTTCTCCAAGCAAACACTCGCTAAAGAAAGAAAATACACAAAGTGGGCGCATTGTTCTCACATGTAGTGCAAGGAGGAGAGAGAAAATAAGGCATATTTTTCAAAACATCTTGCAATGCTGATTACTAGGACAGTGCTGAATCAACGCTATCTTATACACTGACACTTCGTTACTGAGACAGCACATACAATAAATGTATACAATCATAAAAGCTGAGTTGTAAATGACAATATATTGTTGCCTGTATTCCTAGTAGATTTTTTCTCTTTTATTAGACCTATGATTTCAGTGAATAAATATATGCAGACTTCTAACAGCAGTACACAATTCATTCATCATTAATAGCAAATGCGCAGGCACAGAGCATGTGCAGTTACCAGAGTAACTGTTGATGTGTCGCTTCGACCTTTGTCTGCATAACATTCAGACTCAAACCCAATCACATACCGATCTAACAACTGTGTCAAACCATACAGTCAGCTCAGGACTACTAGCTACATGTACACACATCAGAACTGCACTTGCTTGGCTTAAAGTAACAGTGTAATGACCAAAAACCCAAACCCTCGACAATCTCACCATTTTGGAAACATAAGTGACTACAACCACTAGAAAATATATATTCTTTATACATACCTTATTCTGATCTCATATCAAATATTGCATATTCATTTTTACCACACATCTATCTTGAAATCATTTCAACCGTGAAGAAGTGTAACTCACAGGGTTTAACTTTTTTATCTTAGATTACATCTGACAGGAGTCCAAGCCTTGAACGGTAGTGTTTATGAATGAACAGTAGTGTTTCTGAATGATCTGACAAAGGAAATGGGAGAGGTCAATGAAAGAATTATCCAATCAGCATCATTAAGTACATGCATTGAAGGATAGTTAATGTTACTGTGGTCATTCTGCTACTGAACCCTGCACTAAAGTTTCAAGCACTGAAAGCTGTATGATGAAATAAAGTACAATGAACTACATGTATCCGCCCTTATAATATCCTTGAATCTTTTACTGTTAAAAATTAAGTACAGTGACCCATACTTGCTCTGTTATTCTCTACCACAGGCTCTCAGGCGATTACATGTATAAACCATTTCTACACAAAAGCCCAATTAATTTTGCATTTCAGTGGGACTAGGATTGAATAATTAACTGGATACTGCACGGTGAGGAGTAATGTGTTTGATGAGGCAGCTTGCCCGTACTGAACAAATTTGTCTGGTGAGTAGTAGTGTGAAGATTTTACAGTACAACCGGGACAGTTTCAAAGGGTTTGATCGATTGCTTTGATCACATAGTATGCTACGTGGTCACAGATTGAAGCTGTAACCTCGTGACCTGCCTTTTGTTACTTATTTCTTCTTTTCTGGATAGTTGGGTTTGGGCTTGGTCAAGTTATGCTGATCAGATGCAGAGAATGCTTGCCAGCCAGACAAATGATATGCAGAGTGGTTGCGACATGACGCATGAGATGCAGTACTGACTCCTGAATGATGCCAGGAACTAATCAAGTCAGCCTCTCTCTCTTCTAGAACTGCTGACATACAATACACAAACGCTGCCCACGGCCTACCAACTCACAGCCCAAACGCCCTTGAGGATTTGGCTGGCTATGCATGAGCACGGGAACCCATGGTTTGCATGGGATAAGCATGACTTGCCATCCCTAGTCCCAGACAATGGAAGAAAAATGAACAATAAAGCACCATGCACACTGCGGATGTACACACTCTGATGGGATCTCTGCGCATGAGGTAATGGCACAAATATGTGGCATGAAAATTAACATTTCCGTTTGATCAACCATCCATGATTGAGGCCGACACACACCAGCTGATAATGCAGATCCCAAGGGTGAGAAACAAATAACCATCTTTAGAAATATTGATTGAAAAGCCATAAAAATCAATTACAGAGCGTTAACAAAAATACTTCTAACAGGAACAAGTTAAAGTTTCCAGCTACATGATATTAGAATAGATATGCACTCTGATGTACAATATTTTAACAACTTTTGGAACGTGGTTGAGAATAGTGTAGTTTAAGTATTCATTCAGCGGCTGCATAAATTTATGAAACATGAATGAGCAGTTAGAACCAGCATTTTTTAATAGGAGATAAAATCTGTGATTTGGGGCTTGTGATTTTACAATGCGACATTATAAACTTTGTGAAGTAAAGACATGTACTTGGTAGGATACAATTGTAAAGTTTAGCAAAGTTCTTACATGGACATGTTTTACAATGGAATAGGCCTACATGTACAATGTGACCATAAAATTTCACACGTACAGCAGTGTATTGCATTTATGGAATGAAAACACACAGTTGTCTCTTGTAATGTTTATGAACTAGCTAGCACCTCTGGGGGATGATAGTCAAAAAAAGGAAGATTTTCAGTATAGCTGCTACAGAGATACATGTCTCTCCAACGCCTACAACATCAAGTCACCTGACTAAACACAGACCATTTGCTAGAGCAGGCTTAATTTTGTTTGCCAATGTGGCACATGTCACCTGCTTTCAGCTGCAAGACATTTTGATCACGAATAAACCCCTGGCAGCTCTTCTCACTGTGTTTGTCAGCAATGACTGGCATTCACTAATGGCTGACTTTTTGAGCAAATGGGCCTGGTATCACAGAGCAGTCAATTCAATACACACTGGCTCCCACCCTTGTAAACTACAAGTACATGATCTAAAACATAGAGTGCAACATGTGAACCAATACATGTATGTGATGGTACTGCGGCTAAATATACTTGTATGTTATAGCATAGCATTTTTTAATCTTAACATTTTTATAATTTTGTACCAGGCTAGGTTTGAGACTGACTAAGTGATCAGCTCACTTGCAATTGCTGTAATCCGCTCCCTTAAAGAAGGTAGTTTGGAAAATTGGATGCTCTTCAATTCCTGTAAACCTGCTCATTCTCGTGACACAGCGAAACAAACACGATGGAAAGTTCTGAAGAAAGGCGACCAAATGGGGCCCTTTCAGTAGTGAGCATGTGCAACGTGATGAATAATCGAGTTTATTCTGTGAGAAGCATGTATACAGTGACACCGCTGCTTACCTATGTTGTTCACTTACATTGGTATTTTTCGTATGCTGATCAGCTTCTTAAAATAAGCTCAAAGAGAAATGCTTACATGTCAATATATGTACTTGAGAATGAATCAGCGTGGTGCTACGAGGTTTTAAGAGCAGTGGAATAAACAAAATCCAGTTTATACTCTTTTACAAATAACCACTGTGTTCGTTGTGCAACCCTCTTACATGAAGAGATTTTCAAGACAATTTTTCAATATCAACTGGTTACACAACATATACCTACATGTAATGATGAAGAACAGTACATCATACATATGAAACTTGGGCTTTTAGTCAACCCAACATTATTAGCAAGTTAAAACAAAAAAAGGCTGAATGTAGTCATGCCAGCAGCTATATATTCTACAATATTAATGAGCATTATGAAATATAACAGGTACATACATGTACATATTCTACTCTTGAAGATTACTAAGGTTTCCAACCTGACATGCCTGTGCGCACTAATTAGTTCTACTGATTAACTGATGCCTAAAAACTTCAAGCATTGTCTACACATATACTGAACTTCAGGTGGACAAGCATGCTCATAACAAACCATGAGGTCTACACGTCCATGTAAACCTGGACTGCCATAGCACAAATATTGCCACTGAAGTTCCTAATTCTACATGTACATGTATGTCTACGATGTCATCATCATGCGGCCACTACCACTTTACATGTAAATTCAACTGACAATGTCATCCATGTAAAGACAACGTGTTCATGCCCCCCAAAGTCAGGTATTCAGAGATGCCAGTCAAGGTCTTGTCCACAGCCTCAAATGAAGGCTGGAGAAGCCGAAATATGCATACATGTGCATGTACATGTACCAGTGCATGTATCTTTTTAAACGCCTAAAATAAGCCAAACAATTTCCACAAAGCCTGAAATCAGGCTTTTCCCTGAAGACTGGCATCCCCGAGGTATTGCCGATCTTCCTAAAAACAGTGTTTTTACCAGAATCACCCCTATGAAAGCTAAACTTGTTTTTTCTTGATTTTTTAGGAAATTGTTTTTACAGCATGCTAAAACCTACATGTATAATTGTGACAATTTCTCCTACCACAAGTCTAGAAAGCAAACCCAAGAACGTCAGTTGCATTTTTTTTTACATTGTTTTACAAAGTACTGACACTAACTGCATTAATAATATCATTGGACTTCAAAATTCATGTTTCAAATTCTTCCGATCATGTGATGCACCTAGAAAAAAACTATTAGCTAAACGTGCATGCACCATGACAAGTTTGTTGTTCCACACAATTTCTCTGTTTTGTAAACATGTTAAACAGTTGTTTACATATTCAAAATTCCATTTCAGGCGTACAATTTTGTTAACAAAACAGCCGAACTACAAACAAAATAAAACACCTTTTAAGATTTCGTATTGACATCCTAGAAACCCTGTCAGTCATTTGTTTTTCTTAATCAAACTTGCACAGTATTTTAGATCATATCATACATTACCTTTGGCATGTTATTTTCTTTTTTCCCCATTTACTCCCCTATTCCAACAACAATCAACAAAATAACAGGTCAGTCACTGGGATGACACAATATACATTAAACTTTTTTCTCTTAAAGGCACATGAAACACATTGCATAACAATCACCAGCTTGACATCGAAGCAGATTATCAAATTACATGTAACACATGCACATTCATGGTGGACTACATATTACTAAAATACTACATAGATTTCATGTATTTTTCCCACTCAATTTACCCAATTTTTTTCCCCTGAAGCTCGAGTTGTGCACATGTTGGTTACAACTTACATGTACTTTTCCACGCTTTTCAGATTTTCTGTAACTCTGTGTTGTCTGACTCAAAAGATAGCAAAAGCATGTCAAACATTACTAACTTGTCAGCAACTTACATGGACAAAATATTGATCTTCTGTATAATGTGTCCAGCTTCCTTTTAATGTACCACGAAGTTGCACACTGAACAAAACATCTACCAGTTTTGATAAAGTGCACGCACAAAACCAGTATCAATATCTGGAAGTCAGCACAAAACTAGTCACACCATTTAACCAGCCACCTTCTGTAGTTTCTGGTCGCAAGTTAAATTCTCCTTCAGTGTTTCTAAAGTGCTTGTGCACAGCAAAACAGTTCCACACAAACAGCTGTTAGTCTGAGTAGCAACAGACACTGTATTCCGGGCAAGCATTAAACAATAACGGCTCTATTCCAACTCACACCTAAGCACATCTTTTTCATACTCTTCACTGAAGAGCTACTGTGCGTGTGTTTGTGAGAAACTGGCAATTATCCAATGCCACATTTACAGCAATAAAAGTAAACCAACTAGGGAATGTTGACACGGTACTGAGAACATCAATTTCTGTGCTTTAATGCTGGCATAGGCTATTTGTCACTTTCTTGGTAACATGAAACTGTCTACCTCCAAGGCTGTATTGTATTTTTTCTCTTTTTTTTTGCTTCAGGCTGCAAGAAAAACTCTGAAAATTTCTGCTAACTTGTCAGCCAATTGCAAACTCATCTGCATTTATATGGACCTTTCTTTTGCCACATCGTACTCTAGTTTTTGCCAATTGGCAATCTGTAAACTACCGGTATGGCCACTAAAACTCAATAATAATGAATACTGATACTAAATGAAATACCCCCCTAAGCTCCCTCTTTTAACATTGATGAATTTAATGTATGTTTTGAGGTAACGGCTACTGCCATACAAGGGTGTTCAAACATTCTGTAAACTTTGGCCATTTGTATAAAATGGTAGTCAATGTCTGTTAACAAAAGAAAGGTCTAAGGGATAAAAATCGCATCTATTGAATATAAGCCCTTCCAACACTGGAAGCGGTGTGTAAACAAGTCTTTTAGGTATATTTTATTCTATTATTTTTATTTTGTTTTGTTTTGTTTCTTTCCTTACTTTGGTCCATTATTGTAAGCTCTGAAATCAGTTCCTACAACAGGATACCTCTTCAACTGCTCCATCACTCAAAATATGTTTATTCCATTTTTACAAGTCATTAATGTGAGCAAACCACACTATTAATGTAATTCAAATTCATGCAACAACAAATGCATTTGTATAGTACAGGTACAGAATTATTTCATTTATTTGCGAAAAGAAAGTGAGTTATTAAATTTAAAATCCATAGCACTAGTTTTGGCACTAATCTAAGCAATCCGGCAAGAGTCTTAATTCCATTTTGAATTATTTTGACACTATGTCACAATATTAGTCGACAAGTAAAAACTCAAACAAAACTCTACCTTAATTATTTCTGAATATATTTCAAACTCGAAATCAAGCAACATTGGGCGGGCAAGTTCTAACATTAAACTGTATGCTCTTCTAACATGACTAAGATTTTTAAATGTATGTTCGATAGCTGATGCACATGTAAATTAATAGCAATGCAAAGCTTTATTTTGCATTGCAATTCTAGCATTTTACTTCAAATAAACTGCAATGAAATACTGATTCACATCACTTTTTTCCATCAAATTAAGTACACGTGCGAGTGTGATTGTGTCACATGTAGAGAAACTATGTAAGACAGACAACATGCTGAATGAGCTGCAAGTGTGACTGCTGAAAGACTATGTCCAGAACCACTTGAGCTCCAAGCGCCAAGAAATCACTACTCTCATCAGAACTCCACTTTGTACATGAAGAAGTTCTCATCTTTCATCTGCACAATGCTCCGGCTGGCCGGCTGGGAGATGGTGATCTTTGAATCGCTTAGCTGCTGTACATTTTTCTGCTCCCACTCCTGCAGGGCATCAGTGTCATAGGTCGGGATGACTGTGACCTCCGCCTCGGGGTCCTCCCACTTGGACTTGGCTTCCAGCAGGGAATCCATGACCGTCACGCTAGGCTGGTTGCGACCTTTGTCGTTGGCGCTCAGGACGTAATTCTTGGATCTGATGCGCCGGAAGAACTCCATGTTGACCGAGTCCTCACTTGCGTGATGTGGAATATATGTGAGATCTACATAGACAGATGGCCCGCTGATGGGGATGGCCTGGGCTTTTGATGTGCTGGTGCTTGTCTTGGAAGACAGTGGCCTCTTGCTACTGTCTGATCTCCTGGAATCTCCCGCCTTGCTTGGGGCCGACCTGGTGAACCTATCAGACTCTCTCTTGGCTGGTTCTGTCGACTTTCTGGCACTACTGGGAGCTTTGGAGCCTGTCGGTCTCTGCGTGCTGGCCTTGGGCGTGGTCCTGGTTGTCACCTGACTGGGTGCCAGCCGTTTGGTCGGGGTGGGCTTGGTGTCTCCAATGCCATTGGTTTTTGTTCGGCTGGTGTGGCTGCTGCTGCTTGTCGACACAGAAGCAGCTGCATGCTTCTCCAAGACCTTGCCAGGAGACTTGTCTCGATTTGATGTCTGTGGGCGAGCTGCTGGGGTCTTCGTTGCCGAGAGTCGACTTGGCTTCTTCTCTGCTGCTACGGTTTTTCTCTCAGCCAGAGACTTCCTTTCAAAGGTTTTCTTCTCTGTTGGTGTTCTCTTTTCGGTGGGTGTTTTCTTTTCTGTTGGAGTTTTCTTCTCTGCAGCAGCTTTGGGCTCAGTCCCAGTGGTCCGCCTCTTGGCAGCTCCTGTTACCTCTAGCTTCTTGGTGCCAGGTGTCTTTGTGGTGGATTTCTTCTCTGTCACTACAGATGTCTTGGTTTTTGTGGTGGTCTTGATGTCTCTTGTGGTAGTCTTGGTGGTACCCTTGGTTTTTGCTCCCTTGTCGGCAGGCTTCTTGGTAGCACTGGACGTTGTCGTGGATGTCTTGGTTGTAACCTTGGTTGTGGTACTGACTGATGAAGCTGCCTTTGCCGCAATTTCCGGAACTGCAGCGGGCTTGGGTTCTGGTTCTGGCTCTGCAGACTGTTCAGTGGCCCCCATCAAAGGTTGCGGTTCAAGTTGGGATTCTGGAGTAGGTTGCGGAGATGGTTCAACGACAGGTTCATGCTGAAGCTCAGGGCTAGGCTGTGGAGATGGCTCTTTGATAGGTTCGGGTTCCGGTTCTGAAGGAGAGGGTTCCTGGACAGGTGCTGACATCTCCACAGGCTCAACTTCTTCTTTGGTTGCCTCTTCTTCAAACTCAACATCAATATGGGGCTCAGAGAGAGAGGGTTCCTGGGCAGGTGCTGACATCTCCACAGGCTCAACTTCTCCTTTGGTTGCCTCTTCTTCAAACTCAACATCAATATGGGGCTCAGAGAGAGAGTCAGGCTCTTTTTCTGACTGAGGCTCAGAAAGAGAATCCAAGAGAGGCTCAGATGAGGACTGTTGATCGGGTATCGATGACTCCTCCTGTATAACCTCTTGGTTATAAGCTGCTTCCACATCGTAGTCAGAAACAGGCTCTCCTATGATCTCTTGCTGTGCTTCTTGAGCTGGTACAGGTAGCTGTGTAAATGTATCTGAAACTGGCTCAGAAATTAACGTGCTGGGAACATCTTGCGCTTCAAATGGAGAGTATTCCTCAACCGTCTCAGGGCCTTCCTCAGGTTCTCTCTCAATGACTTGAGGATGTTCTTGTGCCGCTTGTTCCATGTCTTCCGATTGGTACGGATGGCTAGCAGGCTCACTTGGTGGTACCTCATCTCCAAAGTGAACAAGGTCCTCTGAATCTCTTTCAGAGCTCTCTAACACAGCCTCTGCTTCTGGTTGCAAGCTAGTCTCTTCAAGCAGCATCACCTCTTCGACTGCAATCTGTCTGTTTTCATTGATATCAGCTTCTGGCTGCAGACTTATCTCTTCTGGATGTTGGCTATTTTCTCCTGGCTCCTGGCTGATCTCTTCAGGCTGAGGGCTAACCTCTTCGGGCAGGGGGCTAATCTTTTCAGGCTGGGGGCTAATATCGTCAGGTTGGGGGCTGAAATCTTCAGGCTGGGGGCTTATATCTTCAGCATCTGGGCTTATATCTTCTGCTTCTGGGCTTATCGCTTCTGCATCTGGGCTTATCTCTCCTGAATCTGGGCTTATCTCTTCTGCTTCTGGGCTTATCTCTTCTGCTTCTGGGCTTATCTCTTCTGTATCTGGGCTTATCTCTTCTGCTTCTGGGCTTATCTCTTCTGCATCTGGGCTTATCTCTTCTGCTTCTGGGCTTATCTCTTCTGCTTTTGGGCTTATCTCTTCTGCTTTTGGGCTTATCTCTTCTGCTTCTGGGCTTATCTCTGCCAGCTGGGAACCCATTTCTTCAGGTTGAAGGCTTTCCTGTACCCTACCACCAGAAAACTCATCAGGTATCATGAAATTTTGGTTGATCTCCTGTTGGCCTTCTTGACTCCAGGCTTCTGTCACAGGGACGTCTGGTGGTGGTACATACTCTTCATATTCACCCTCTGGTACTACTTGATCCTGGTCTTCCTCTGGGGCTGGGGATTCCACGCTTTCTGCATGTCCAGTTTCCATCTCTTCATGTTCTTCCTCTTCCCTACCAGCAAGCACTTCTTCCTGCCCTTCTGATGACTGGATTTCAACAACTGGTTCACCTCTGATTTCAGCCTGAAGTTGCTCAGATTCACCTGCAGCAACTTCTTGCTCTGTTACTTGTTGCACGTCAGGCTGCATTACATACTGATTTTCTTCATCCCCAAGTCCCTGAACTGGTTGAGGTTCTTCTGATGTGACGTCAAATTGCCCTGAAATCTCTTGATCTTTAGCTTCCATTTCTACAACATTCCCCTCTACATCTGGAATCTGCCCTTGCTCTTCACTGCGGCCATCCTCTGCAACTTGGCTATCTTCTGGCATCATTTGAGAGACTGGAGCTGGCTCCTCATACATCATTTGGTTTTCAGCCTCAGCAAGCTGCTGGTCAGGTTTGACCTCTATCTCTGATGCCTGAGATGCTTCTGAGGAGTCCTCTTCTTCATCCTCTGCAATGTCTTCCTGCTGCTCATACTGAATACCCTGAGCATATTCTTGCGAGCTTGCCTGGGCTTCCATCTCTTCTACAGCACTCCCACCATTAGAGGGGACCACAGGGGGCGGAATCTCGGGGAAAGAAGCTTGCTTAATCTGCTCTTCATGGAAATCTGCCTCAGGACGAGGTTCTTCAACTAAATAGCTGTCGTCCGGTTCTTGGTCCGGAGAAGAGAACTCAATTCGAGGTTCCCAAGGATGTGGTCCTCCATTTGGTGAGCCAGACTCGTCGTCAAAAGCTCCACTGCCTTGGTTTCCATTTGTAGGTGACTCATCATCAGACAGATCCCTCTTCTTCTCAAATCCACCACCAAACTCTCCAGGAGCAGCAGCTTCAACATGATCCTCCTCAGCATAGTCTCCAAAACCTGAAGGTACTGGAGCTGGCACCTTAGAGCCAGCCTCTGCTTCAAAGACAAAAGAGCCATCATTTGGAGATTCGTCGCCATACTCAACCTGGTCACTAGGGGTGATTTCCCCTGAAGCCAACCTCTCGGGAGCATCTGACTGCTTGTTATCAAATGCATCTGGTGTGCCAACATACACGAAAGCTCCCATGTCCTGCTGGCTTTCCGGCAAGTTGCTGTCCATGAGGTTCCCACATATATCACCCTGTACAGTTGCCTGTGGCTCATTATCAACTGGTGACTCTTGAGTGTCCATCACTCCATCATCTTCTGGAGGTGGGGTGCTGCAATGATTACCATCAGTGAACATGACATCCCCTTCCGGAGGTGGGGTGTTACAGTTGGCACCGTCAGTGCACTTGTATGGTTCAATTGGCACAAACTTGTTGCAGGCATCCTCATCATATTCATTTTCAGGAGGCGGAGTACCACAGTGCTTTCCATCACAGCACTGGCCATCACTTTCCTCTGGAGGAGGTGTGTTACAGTTCTTTCCATCAGAGCATACACCACTACCCTCTTCAGTGTCTGGAGGGGGCGTGTTACAGCCCAAACCATCCTTGCATTTCCCATCAGGAGGCGGAGTCCCGCAACAGAGGCCATCAGGACAAGGAGGTGGTGTGTTGCAGTTTTTTCCATCTGTGCATTCACCTTGTACCTCCGGGGGAGGCGTCCCACAATGGATACCATCAGTACATGTAGCCTCGTTACTGGAAGTGACAGTAACTGACGCTGTTGGGCCATTGGCTTTAGGTGGAGTTTTTCCTCCAGCAGTAGGAGACTTCTTCTTAAGAGGAGCACCACCCTTGGTCAACTTTGCAGCGGTTACATGCGGGTACTTCAGGTAGTCCAGATGCTTCAGTCTGTCGAGACCTTCCAATATTTTAGTCTGAGGCGCATTTCCTGGGAACAAGACTTTGACAATATCTTCATGGGGATTAGCTGGCTGCCAGACAATCAGAGCACAAATGGAAACAGCACTAGAAATGGGATACTCACTCTCTTTCCCATTCACTTTCATTCCAATTTTTACCTTAGAGAATGCTTTATTGCCACTCCATTGCTGCATGAAATCTTTCAGCTCCTTACTATCATGGACGGGGGTTAAGATAAACATATCCAGACGGCCTATACCGACTTTCTGATAGAGAGTGACAGGCTCAATAATTTTGCCAATGTTGGCTGTGCAAGAAAATGGCTTGATTTCAAGTTCTTGAAGCAGCTGCTGTGTGAGGTTCCCCTGGCTGACTGTCTTAAGCTGAAGACTTGTTGCTGATTTCTTGTTCTCGGGGGCATTCAGGTAGACCACTCCCACCTCGGGCGAGTTGCATTTGATTAGCCAGTCCTCATGCTCCTCTGATCCCTTCTCAGGCTCTGTCAGCTGCTGCTCGGCTATCTTTCTCTTCAGGAGACTGTTGAATCCCACCAAAGAGTCAGGCTGCATGTGCTGGGCCATGATGGCGTCAATTCTGTGCAGATGCTTGGCAAACTTCCAGAAGCAGCTCTTGGTGCAGTAGCCCCCGCCGAGAAAAATGCTGAAGTCGGTGACAGCAAAGAAGGCACAGTCTCCTTTTCCTGCCGGGAATATTAGCACAGTGGGCTTGGTGATCTTGCACTTGACGCCAACGCCCATGGTGGGTGGCTCCAGAAGCTCAAAGGGCGAGGGGATCTGGATGTTGTTGCGGATGGTCTGCAGGACCAGAGAAATGCCTGCCATGGCATTCTTGACCTCCTGGGGGTTGATCGTGAGATTGAGGCTCTTGGTGAATGTCTGCTTAGTGACCGCCGCAGTCTGCCAACGGCATCCAGACACCACCAGGGTCTGCCTGTCATCCTGCGAGGCTTTCAGGACAGCAGCATCCACCTCCGGCTCGCTGAAGATGGCGGCGATATCATGCAGGGTGAAGGTGTCATTGTGTAACACCCAGTCCCCGCTCCCTTCAAGCCAATGGCCGCCAAAGATGAGATGTTTGTTGGATGCAGGATGGATGAGGAGGTTGCGAAGCTCGGCAGTCACCTCGCCAGATGTGGGATTGACCAATATGACCACACCAACACTAGTACCACAATGAGCCAAGCTCCTGTGAACTACAAAAAAAGAGAAAATGATTGCAAAGAATTTGTAGTAAATCGGACACATTCATGTGCCAGTTAACACAGTGAAGGATAAAAGGAAAGCAAAACTGCACGTAGTCAACTGATCTCCATAAAAGTGAAATGCCACCTGTTTATCTGCTCTGAGCAGAACAAAAGAGGGCTTTTTTGGCGTTGGCCTACAGGCGCGCCTTTATAATGGAGATTAATGGCGCGTTTGATACGGGCACGCCGAATACGTGTAACAAATTTATTCCTTAATGTATGGTCTTTGCGTACACCCAGAATGCGTGCAAGAACCCGCTTGGAAAACTAACTACCATCTGTCTTTCTTTTGCCACTTGGGGGTGCACTTCAACTCGAGGCGGATAACCAGAAACAAAAATACTCTGTGAAGTGACAAAACAACTGTCCAATAACAGCCACCCCAAAAATAACCACTAAAGAATCTGGAAAAGATTGACCTACTGGTACATATTCATGTACAGAGATGTTTTTTGCTATAACTCTGAATCAAAAGTACATGTATGATCAATCTGCGGTACCATGTGTTCTGGTATAAAAAGAAGTCTTATTATGCCAAGAACAAAAATATGTCCAGTGACACCAAACTGGGCTAATCAAACCCCTAGGAGGGAAAGATGATCAGAAGAGCAGTGTCAAAATTTATTCAGTACAGGCTCTATAGACAAAACACATGCGATATTTTAACTCTCATCTTCAAAACTTCAGAAACCTAAACAACTTACTAAAATGTTTCTGCCCAGACAGGCACTGCACACATACACATCAAAACACTTTAGGGAAATTCTCAGCCAAATATCATTGCTACTTTGAAAACCTTCACAGTTTCTTTGGCGGTTAACTCAGGGCAACTGGAGGGACTCAACCACATGCTTCACTTCACTAAAGATTAATTCCACTTGGTGTTTGAAAACTGAAATGCAACAAGGGCAATTTTCAACATGCCAAACCCATCACGTGAGAAAACCTGCAGGGGTGTGCAAGGTTTTTCAATCTACATGTACTGTAAAGCTTAAGATGGCACACTGGAGTGCTACATTGAACTCCTAATGGTACAGCGAAGAAATCAAGAGCCAAAGTTATCTTACCGAGCCCGACCTTGTGGACATCAGCTGCTGCTGTTGCTTGCAACACAGAATCATACCCGATAGCAGAATCATCCACATCCCAACACTGCAGAGCTGGAAAGTGAACAAGAAATAAGAGGTTACCATCTTAAAGCAACCACTGAAAATAAGCACACTCTGGGCTCTGCTCCTGAGTCCGCCCCTCAAAGGTAAAGAAGGGAGAGGATGGACCGACAGCTTCAACTGGGTGCCTGGTGCCTATGTAAAGCTTGTTCAAATCGCGTGATCCTGTGAGTGCACATGGCGCGGTAATCCCCTGGGGTGTGGTTACTACCGGTAACTAACCACGTTCGCAGGCAAAGCCCTTTAAGAACAAATCTACAGGCTTCAGCACAGTTCCAATTCCAGCACTCTTTCAAAAATAAACAAAATAACAGATAAAATTAAACGGCTCAGATACATTTAGGTACAAGTGCTGCAGCATAAATTGTGTTCTGATTAAATTTGGTCAGGTGCCCTTAATGTATTGTTCAGTTACATGAACCTTCTGGTACATGTACAGGTACTGTACATGTTTCCCTTGAATATCGCGGCGTGCGCATACCTATGTGACTGACACTCATGGGCAACCTTGAAAGATACTCCTGAACAAGTTCTCAATCAAATAAAAAATGTGGAAAGACCAGGATTTGCCAGAAAGTTATGGTAAAAATTCTTAATTTTGTTATTAAGCAGAAAGTTTAATAGATACCGGTACAAATACCATGGGGCATACATTTGCCCTTAAAGCTTTAACCAGCGGCAATGACAGACTGTCAAAGGCAGTCCTCTGTTGGTCCACCTCTAAACTACAGTCTATATTTTCACACGACAGCAGACTGTTCTCTCGGTTTGTAAATTTTTACAGAGTCCTTGTAAAGCAGCAATTTTTCCCAGTGCTGTCATCTTAGTCCCTGTTCTTCCCGGTTGGTTATTTTTCCCAAACGACCGGATATTATAACAAACACAAAACTGTCCATGTTTTGTAGAACAAAGGGGCTTTTAGTGGGTAAGATTTATTTACATGTATTTGCTATTTTATTTTACTGCATCGAATTCATTTCAATATATTTGATCCCTGATAATTATTGAACATGTTTTGTTTAGATGAAAAATAAAAGAAAGGCTGAACGTGTTACCTAATGAGGTATATAACACATCACAACTGATTAATTCAAGGCTGTCCAAAATTTCATGAAGTTGTTTGTTATAACAATTTATCGTTGCTTTTTTAACATGTTTAAAAACATACATGTACTGTAAAAGTCGAAGTCAGAAATTATATCTTTTTCCAAGAACTTGTTTTTGTCAAGATGGTTAATACTTTAATCAAGGTGGCATGTCATGGCTATCGTACTGTTCAGCCTAAGGCAAAGTGCATCATTATACGTTCCCAAATTTCCTGGCGCGTCTGAATTGGTGTAGTGTTATCTTGGCTTGTGCAGAGAAAACTACATGAGGTCGGGCCTGAAGGATCATCGTCATGCAAGACTGTAATTCAATGAAAAGAAAATTACCGGTAACATGAAAAATGTCACATACATGTATGTACATGTATTTGTTGGGCTCTCTTCATTCTCTTAGTGCTTATACGGTAATCACTCGATACCGCATATATGCCACGTCTTATACCTTTCAATCACCAAAAATAATATTTAGCGTAAGTTTGGCTGCATCAATAGTGTCTAATGAGTACAATATGTTTGTTGCAAATGTCATATTTGACAGAATTTTGATGGTTGTTCAAGAAGTTTGACAAAAAATGCAAGTTCGAGAATGCTGAAAACGCTGTCACGTGTAGCGCTTGAAAATTCCAAGCACGGTGTTCATTTTGGAGATATCCCCGCTGAAAATTAAATCAAAATTAACAACTCTGAGCATTAGATTTTCATCATGAATTGTATTTTATGTCTCGGACATCATTTTTTTGCAAACGTCATTCAGTATGACAGATTTTCTTTTGAGGAACCTTGGTATGAAGAGAAAAATCCCAAAGCATCACCATTCTCCGGAGGGGCTCATGAATATCAAATAACAAAGAGGGTGCACTATCTGCGTTGATGTCAAAAGTCAAACAGCCCACGATGCAGCAAAACGTTTCTCTAACGTCAGCGTGAGATATTGACGGAAGCCACAAAATTGCCACGATCAGGATTTTAGACTGAAATTTTCAGAAACATACTTGAAGAAAATGTGATCGGTCCAGTCGTAAAATGATGATGGTTTGGCAGTGCTTTTTTGCACTTTTTTTACAGCTTGTGTTGTACATCGATTTTGATTTTACTTGCTATTTTTTGCAGTCAATATTTTGACGGAATCGAATGATGTTTGCGACTGCCGACTTCGGGACCAAATTATTTGTTTGAGGTACTATATTTTTAAATTTGGTGACTATAGTTTTAATTCCTACCGGTACATGTACCCCCCAAATACCGGGTACACCTTTCACCACATATAAATGTGTGTCAAATCAATCACAGGGATTATCATTCCCAAAAACTTTTTACTGGCTAGGATTTCAACAGGTTGTTCACGTCCGTCAAAAATGCTGACGTTTGAGATTTTAACTAATTAACTCCAATTAAGTTGAAAGATGGACACGTCCATTATTGTTCCAGATATCAGCCATGACTTCCCTCATTTCATCAGACATTGGGAATTAATTCACTGCTGTTCTCTCCAGGAAAAATGAACCTCCAAAGTTGAACATTATCTAATGGTCCACATTTTGAGGAACCTGCCACATGTACTGCACAGTTGTCTTCCTCTTATCAGTGGAAAGGCTATAATAGGAGATGACATACGACTACATGTGCATGGCATACAGTTCATGTACATGTACATGTAGTGGGTATGTGTGTTCATATACATGTATTATTACACTGTACATGTACATTGTACATGGTACCAGTACATGCGTGTACATGTACATTGTACGTGTATACATTGGACTAAATTATATGTACAGGTGTATATGTACTCACAGATCTTCAAGTACTGATTTTAAGCTCATCCCTATGAGGTTCAATTAACATTCATAAAAGCATTAACTGGATGTCAAAAAGTGAATGACACATGTAAATGTACATGTGTGTGTGTACATGCGCAATATGCAAATGTACAACCGGTACACGTGCATGACGTGTTTTAGTCTACTGAACCTGTCACTCAGCCTGTTGTACTGCAAAGCTAAACAAGAGATGCCGTATACCGGTACATGTACATGTACATTGTAAGCATGAGAAAGGTTTCTGCATATCTGCAACACTGTGATGGTATACATGTACAGCCCACCTGCTCACATAAATTTCAAATGTCAAATTAAACCAAAAGCATCCAGAAAAATGCTTATAAATGCCTGGTGCCCGGTATCAACTGTTTGAACACATACACTACTTTCTCACTTGATAGAAATTTGAAAGAAATGGCTCTGGCAAGCACGCCATGCACATGACTACAAAATGTGCAGCCAGCACGTGACGCACGAACACAATGTCAGACTGAATGTACACCAGCTCCTCTGGAGTTGCTGATTAAGGCATAGGGACATGAACCCCAACATTTACACGGATTGCATCCCTAGACATGCTAGAGCTGTTTCGAAAAACACTCCAGAATTGACTTTGGCAAGTGCTGGCATGAACTCTGCAGACATGTGCAAGCATCCTGGTAGATTCAAGGCTGTACGTGGGCCAATAAAAATAATCAAGAAGTATGTTTAGCTTCATTCTCAGAGGATTACTTCAAAAAAATCTAAAAAAAAAAATCAATGGCTGGGGGATCATTTAAATATAATTCACTTACATGTACATTTACAATCCATCTCAAATTCACAGGTGACTCCTGACTGAGATTGAGAGTCAAAGTAAGTGCCTAGAATACATGCAAGGACTGATTTACAGGGTAAGTGGAGTGACTCAATTTCATGAAAATGTGTGAACAAGACTGTACCTTATAATTGCCATGGCTATCAACACACTTCACATTAAGTATGTATACGTTTCCACTGAGGGAAGCAAATTGAATTTTTCAAGCATGTCACAGGAATTTCATGAATGGATCTTGAAATACATAATGGACAACACTGTGTTCAGTTTGTGTGGTACACTGTATATACCATATTCCGGTACATTCTGAATTGCTTAACACTGCCACACTACATATGACACCAGTCATAACATTGACCGGAAATCACAAAGCTGTCAGCATGAAGCAAAAGGAAAAAAGTAAAAAACTACCCCGCATGAACTAAATATTTGGCAGGCACTCCCAATTACAGGAAATTTGTTCAGCAGGCCCCAGAATATTATCAGGTCCGTTGTCAGCAGAAGGGAAACTGTGCTAATGTTTGGATCCTGTGAACAACATGTACGCACGTATATGTAGGTGCCTCATTCCTACATCTAAGTGTTGTGGTTCCCCACTGACTTGGGGAAAACTTCCTGGATTTACACAGGGAATAAAATATGCAATTTACATGTAAACGGAATCGACTAACAATACCAATAAACTGTGGGCATATTGTACACATGTACATTCCAGTTTGAATTGTTTTGGTTTTGGATTTTGGTTTTGGACCAGTATACACATGCTGTAGTAGGACAAGCCCTACGGTATATATACCGTATGTACAAGTGCAGAGAGGGTTTTACGGTTTCTCTGCTTAAAGCTGGTCCATGCATGTACATGTTGTTGGCGACAAAGTGAAAACAAATGCAAATTCGCGCTGTGAATTTGCAAAGGTTGAACATATTTCAACTCGAGCAAAACTTTGCTGCAAATCTTTTGTGATGTCAAATTCACTTCACTTTCACACTCGCCTGTGGTACAAGCGTTCAATGACTAACAACAGATTTGATGAACACGTACATGTACTGTACATGTACCGGTACACCGTACATGAACAAAAAAGCCAATAGTGCTTTCATTTTCCAAATGCACAACACACAAAGACATATCAGATACTACATGTAGTTTGTACAATGCCTTACTTTCACATGTGAACACTAAAAATTATTTGATGTGATTGGTCAATTTTACCTTAAAACCTACATGTACATACATGTACGGTACAT